GAAAAGCTTCTAAAAAGAAACATCAATGAACTATAATAAATTATTTCTGTAGAAACTCTTCTGACTCCACACTCTTCTATACCGGAATAATGTTAGTAAAATCAAAAGATCACAATAAAAGTATAAATCACCACTAGGTTATTATGAACTTAGTTAATTTTTTTTTTTGCCAGCATAAAAGAGATTGAGTTCTTTTATTTTTTTGCATCATTGTTCATTTTTTTTAATAATAAATTTTATTTTTATATTCCCCATACAATTTCAACCCCTCCATTCTGACCCCAATCCCTCCCCTCCCTCCCCCCTGAACTTAGTTAATTTTAAAGAAAGAAAGAAAAGCAACACAGGACAATGCTCTTTTCTCCCTAAATGGAAGCTTTTAAGTTTATAGTCAGGGTCAATACTAGAGTGAGGCAAGTAGGTCCCCTATATCAACAAGCCCAAGGAAGCAAGATTATGCAGGCAAGACCTCTGGATTCTACAACCCTTAAGAGTAGGGTGTGTGAGGACTGAGAGCACCAGGGGAACTGACAATGATGGGCTACCAGGTGACAAGAAGCTGAAAGAGTTGAAAACAGGGGATCCAGTGAAGTAGTACAGAGGGGCGAGAGTTCTTTGACAATGGAAACTTCCCGAAGAGAATTGGAGCTGGACGTGTGGAGATGCTCCATGAAATACAGCTGGGCAAGGGTATTTGGAGTTGCCTGGATTTCTGTGAATGGATTATCTACCTTGGAGGAGGAAGAAATGATGAGCTTGGACTATGTGAGGCAAGAGCTGCACAGATTTGAATTTAACAAAGGGCAGTGATCATAATGGAGCAAAAGTGTATGGGGACAGGGGGACAGGGTGGGGCGAGTCCAGCCCTCTGGAGCATTGCTCCTCGTTGACCCATGTGAATCTTCACACTCACCCCTGTTCCCCACCCTCTCGGTAGGTGGAAAGCACCCCCTATGGCATATGTTGTTAGGAATTTCTGTGACTCTTGCAATCTATGTTTGGGAGGAAATGAAAAGTTAACCCTCTGAGCTCACTTTCTTGTTGATTAATGATTAGTCAATTGATTGTTTTCTTTCTATGCAAAATAAAGGAAATGTAGCAGTCCAAAAAAAAATCTTCAAAAGGGTGAGGTGAGAGGGGACCAGGTTGTGAAGTGTAAGACCTGGTCTTCTTGAGTCTTGCATCCTACTCATCTCTGTCAACTGTTCCTTAGTTCCAGCTCTGCCTGTATTAATTCCTTCTTCGTGTTTTCTTTTGTTATTTCCACAGAACTTGTTTCATAGAAGAACTTTTTAGCACTTTTTAGTCATTCTTCTTTAATGATACTGGTATGTAAGATTATCAGTTTTCCTCTGATTACAGATTTTGATATAAAGTATTTCACCATTTTCTGGATAGTTTTAGCTCTATATTCCTCTTTACTCCCAAGGCTATCCAGGAAGTATTCCTTCATTTATAGTTAGATTGGCTACTTTTAAATTATTTATTTCTAATTTTACTGAATGTGGCTACCAAAAATCTCTCTTTCTAAATTTGGTAAGACTTTCCTCGTGGTCAAGCACATAGTCAATTTAAATAGTGCTGTACTGGATGTTTGGAAAAAAAACTGCAGCTTTTACTTAAAAGATAGGATTATATGTTAAATTGAATAGGTTGATTATATTATCCAATTCTTCCATACTCTTGCTTTTTGTATGTTAGATCTGATTCAAAAAAAAATTTGAAATCTACAATATTTTTATTCAATTGTCTTTCCATTTACACTGTTTGGTACACAGGGGTTTACCAATGTTAATTCCATATACAGTCAGGTGTTGCTTAACGAGACTGACAGACCAATTTCATCATTATGTAGGTGTCACGGTGTAATTATACAAACCTAGATTGTACACCCTATCAGACATCTGGGCTGTATGGTTTAACCTATTGGGACCACAGTCTTGTATGCAGCTACTAATAGCCTAAAATGTCATTAAGCCACAAATGTGTCTTATATTTTTACCTGATATCCCCTGTATAGTGCTATATATATATATATATATATTTCTTACATCATTTTTCATTTTTGCACAATGTATGTATTTTCCCCCTGTATAGTGCTTTTAACCTGAAATTCCTCCTCGTCTGCTACTGATTGTGCTATTCCTGTTTTCCTTTTCATTGTATTTACTTGGTATCTTTGTCCATCCCTTTATTGTTAACCTTTATTTCTTTGGAATTTTCTTTTTAATCTTTTTCTTCTACATAGAGTGTAGTGTAGCAGGCTTACTTTTTACTTATTATTTCCTCATTTACCATTGTCTTCATTTTTGCAGATTGAGGAAACTGATCACTTCCCCTTTCCATTTCTTTCTTTCTTTTTTTTTTTAATGGAGGCATGTTTTATTTATTTGTTTGTTTGTTTGTTTGTTTGTTTATACATGCACTGGGTACAGTCAGAAGCGCGGGAGGGTGAGAGAATTCACCAGAGCCAGAGCGGGGAGCAGAGCAGGCAGAAGACCGAAGTACACTGCTGAGGGGAGCAGCGGGCGGCAGGAGAGGTCTGCGCGCCATGTGGGACCCTCCTCTGGTGACCGGGGAGCAGCCGGGGATAGAACTGGCGCTGCAGAGGCTGCGGGGAACTTCGTAACCCAGCGCTCAACCGCTGCGCCACTAGGGAGGCCCCCCCTTTCCATTTCTTGATGTAACTTCTCTTGCAGACTTTCATTCCATATCCAGATGCTTTCCTTTCCTGTTGCTCGTAATCAGATAAACATTTGTTTACCATCATATGAAAACCCAAGCATACATTTCTCCCACCAAAATGTCCTCCAGATTTCTACTCCAAACTTCAGAACGCTTTCCCTTTCTCCCAGTTCCACAGCCACTCCACGCATGAGCCCTTTGGAGCAACTCTCCTTTCCCCCGACCCCCAATGCCCAGATTTGCATGTTATTTCTAGATCCGGATTGTTTTTAGAAAAGTCTTTAAGGCAGATGGTGATGTGATCCATTCAGGAAAAGAACAGCCTCATAGAGCAGAGGACCCCGCGACCCCCAGCAGTCAGAGCCACGAGCTTCCCAGGGGCTGGTAATGCGGCCTGTAGGGGTGATGACCCCTGCAGGCTCATACCATCTCATAAGATTTTATAGCCTCCTGTCCCTTCTCCCACTCTTCTGGAGACTTGGTGTTTATTTGCTCACTATGTAAAAGCAACTGGTGACATATTTGGGGGGTGATCTGCTAGACAGAGTGATGACAGAGAAGTCAGGCTGGACCAGTTTCCACAAGGACATTGTTCGTGCCTGGTCGCGGTTCCCCTGGTGTGGATCTCCCGGCTGTAGGTTTCCCGGTGCACCACTGCTAGGATGCTTTTTTCTCCTTCACAAGTAACTTGCTCTTTTCTGCGGAAACTTGTAAGATTTTCTCTATTTTTGTAGCTCAGACATGTGCCTAGGGGTCTTTTTATCATCAGCCCCCCTAGAATTGTGAGCTGTCTCCTCAGCTCAGAAACATATTGTGTTTTGCCTCCTCTGTTACATCCTCTAACCCCCTTCTTGATTTCAATCCGTCTCCTGATTTATCTCTCTCTCTATTTTTGCTCTGCGTTTTGAGGTGTGTACTTTCTCTTATCTTCCAGGACACCAATTCAGACTTCAGCAGGAATCACTTATTCAATTCATCTCTTGAAAATTTTACTGGCCTCAGAAAATCAGTGCATGTGTGTACATGCACGTGTGTGTGCACGCGTGTGTGCGCTGCACTTTAAGCTCCTTATGTTTTTTGGCTTAGGAGCCAGCAGCTGTTTCTGTTCTGAGTGAGGTTCTGCTTGTAATTCTTCTCCCTGGCTGCTAGGCCCCATTAGGAATTTTCTTTTCCTTTGTTTGCTCATTGGGGCTCCATTCCAAGTACTAGGGTATCCTAAGGCAGAATAACAGTAATTCCAGTCTCCCCTGGCCCAGGCTTAACAATAGGAGGGTTGTCGTCCTCTGGTGAGACCCTAGGAGGAAACCCTTTCCTGTGTCCTCACTTCTCGAACTCAAAGATGAAAGCATTCTGGGTTATTAGTTCTCCAAGAAGTAGAAATAATGGAGACTTTAATCCTGCAGGTAACAACTAAGAATTTATTAAAGCTTATGCAATTCAGCATAAGGGAGTCAGCATTAGGGACCTGTATGCTGCTCCCCAAGAAATGAGTGGAGGCTCTTTTTAAGCAGTTTTAACCCAGCACAGTTAGAGGGCTGGAGCCCTTTCTTTGCTATTCTTTCCATGAGGTCATTGCATCTCTTAAACTCATGATCTACTTCGTGGTGGATTCCATATTAACCTAGAGGGTTGTTAGTGTTTAAAACTTTATCTAGACTGTGTATTGATGAAACATTCCTTCTAGGGACACTATCAGAGTGTGGGTAGTGACCTTGCCTCCTATCTCTAGTGGAGAAAATGCTGCTTTCTTCTTCTGATGACTTGGTTGACTTTAGCCTGCATTAGCGTCCGGCATCATGGAGTTTCCTGAGATTCACAGAACCCTACCTCCACCTTAGCACAGAAGCAATGCAACCCATCTCTTCAGCTCCTCAGGAACTAGGGAGACCAGGTACACTCACAAAGACCTCCCCTGAGGGGTGCTTCTTAGGGCCCCTGTTACACTCCTGTGTCAGGATTCTGCCAAAGCCTAAGCCCTACCCTCATTCCAGGCTTGTCTGCCTCCACAAGGGCCTCTCAGCTGCTCTTCTCAGGAGAGGCAGATGGGTTAAACTGCAAGTAGGAAAAAGGCAGGATGTTTGCAAGCTGCTATCTTCCCAGAACCTCCTGTTCCTTGAGTCTTAGAACTTCTTGATTTCTTATTTTGTATTCTAAAGTGATCAATAAATAAGACTGAATAAATGCTACCACCCCTACCTCAAGTCTTCTCTGGTGCAGGTTTCATTTATTATGCTGCTTTTTGAAGGAAACTCAAACAGGTTTCAACTTTTTTTTTTTTAATATTTTATTTTATATAATTCTTACATCATTTTTCATTTTTGCACAATGTATGCATTTTCATCTTGGTTATATTCCCCATACAACTGAACTCTTACATATTTTTTAATTTCAAAAAAACAAAGCCCCCAGGTAAGGTGGTCTTCAGAGATTATTGAGTCAACGGCGCAGTAATGTTGTGAAGATTTTGCTTTTCCTTGCTCTGCCAACCTTGATGCTGCCTCATCCTCAGGCTGATAATACGTTGGCTGTGCAGTCCTAGGCAGCACACCTTGACATGACATCATTACAAGAAAGAAAAGTAGGAATTCCCTCATGTCGTATTGGCCAGACTGGGTTACAAACCCATTTCTAATTTGGGATTAACCAAAGACCAGTCGCCTCTAACAACATGGCTGTTTGAGTAGAAGACACAAAGTCTGGGAACACCTGCTCACAAGCTAAACATTCTCAGTTCAATAAGCAGTTTTTCACATGAAAACGAGAAGAGTTGGTGTTCGAGTGTGTTCACATTTGCAAGGGCCTTACAAACATTCACGTTTAATCCTCATCACACTCTGCTGTGATGGCTAATATTATTATCCTTGTTTCAAAGATGAGGTATCCAGAGCTTAACTTCTACAAGGTCACAGTTAATGAACCATCATTTCCTTCCTTATAGATTCTAGATGTCTATGAAGGTAGCCTGGCATTGCAGTTAGCAACAGAAAACATCCTTTATATATTAATTCCCTCAGACCCCGTGTGAGAGCTTTTATTGGGTAGGCTACTTAAAGGCCCTGTCTTTCTTAGTAGAGCCTGGTGACTAGCTAACAGTGCAGGTCATTCGTGGTGACCACCGGCTGGGCACTCCCTGATGCTGCTCGGACACTGCAGAGGCAACTGGCTATGCCTTAGAATTTCGCCTTTCACTTTATTATACACCATTTATATTATAAAACAACACTTGTATGTGGGACAGCTGAGCCCTATACTGAACACTCTGGCTTACACAATCATTTTGTATATGCCCTCAGAAACCAACAAGTATCTGGGAATTCAAATAATTTTATACTTCCGTCTATGCGATACAGCACTGGGGGTGGTTTGCAGTGAGTGTGTGTGTGTGTGTGTGTGTGTGTGTCCCATTAGAAAAGCAATACATGCTCACAGAACATACTGGGAGGGAAAGTACCTGAAATTCTACTTCCCAACTCTCCTTCTCCCACTCCACCCCAGGCCCAGATAATCACTGTCAACTGTGTTGTATTTCTATAGCTCTTTTTGCAATGTTTATTTCTATTTATTTTTAATTATGGAAATCTCCAATTATACATAAAAGTAGAAATAGTATAATAATTAGGCCCAATACTCACATCACTCAACTTCAATCATCAACATTGACAACATATTCTAACAGTCAACATCACAATGCATTTAGTGATTTCAAAATTTGTTTATTATAAAAAGAATGAGTTCATAAAAATTCAAGCAATAAGGATGAAAACTAAATAAAAATGCTTTCTCTCTCGACACCCTAATTCCAGTGCTCAGATATGTTTTTAATGTATCAGTCTAGACATTTTGTATAAATATTTTCATAAACCTAAAAAAATTTCACACACAAGAAATTAGACCATACATATTTATTGATATTTGCTTTTTGCACTCACTGTATCTTGGATTTCTTTCGAAGTAAATACCTAGAGATAGACTGCATTCTTCCACAGCTACCAAGTCCCACTGGAAAGCACACTTAACACAGGAATGTGAGGAGGGTGATGGCTAGTCGATTTGGAGGATTGGTATGTAGACTGTCTCTAAAAGCAGAAGTTTACAAAGTGGGCTCTGTACACACCAAGGTATGTGCAAAATGACTCATTGGGATGTGAGAATAGAACTTCCATTAATCTTTCTTTCGTATCTTAAAACGTTTGCATATTTTTAAAACATACATAGCAATAGTGCAATAATACATTTGCATAATTCAAAACATTGCCATATTAGGAGTGTACCAAGATTTTTAAGTATGAGATACAAGATTGGCACAGTGGGGACCACTGTCACAAGTAGCCGTCTTAACAAACACCACAGAAAACAGAGCTGCAGGTAAGCGCAAAGGAGTAAGCTAAGGACATGGTCCTCTGACTGCAACCCACAATCTGTCGGTGCCAAGTGCTGTAATAGACGTGAAACTCCAAAACTCAGTGAGAATTCCTTAGGTAGCAAGAACCTGTCACTCTCTGAGGACCCGACAATGTACCCACCATCTAAGCAGCAATGCCAAAATGTTTCTGCAGAAGCCAAGCTCTTTAGAGGAGGCAAGTGCTGAATTGCTAACTAGTTTGGGAGCACTGCGCACAAAAGATCCTCTTTGAGATCAGTCAGTATATTAGAGGCTCTAAAAAGTAATGCATCTTTAAAAAAAAAAAAGTAAAGATTAAACACAAACTTGCTTGACTGTAACTCAGCATTTCCATTTGACCCCAGAATACATAATCCCACTCCCAACTTTTTTCCCTAAATCTTTAAAAACCTGTGGAACTCAAATTTTGTGGGAAAACTTTATGAAAAAAAAAAATGTTGATGTGGAGGTTTGCTGCAGGAAACACTGCCTACAAAATGTCAATTTTCACTTTTCATTATGAAATAGTCAAGTAGAAAAATACCATAAGCAATCGGCTAAAGAGACAAGAGAAAACACATGAAGCTACTGCAACTTTTTAATTTCTAAGTCAAGCTTTCTGAATTCATTTCCTCTTCTGCCAGGAGTTATACCTTGTTGTTTACATACTCCAAAGCTAAAATGTGCTTTTCCTGTTTGTGCAAAACATGGTGGGTATATTTTATATTCGATGAATACAAATGCACATAAGATTTTGAGATTTCTCTCCAGGAAGAAAGGTGTGCTGCCAGAGGATTTAGGCTCAGAGACCTGACAAGTGAGAAGCACGGGTGTCCTGACATGTTGTAATGAGACTAACTTTTATGCTTATCTCGTGAAAGTAATGTCATTGCCTATTTTACAGATGTTTATTGAACACTTCCTATAGGCAATTCAGGAAAATGGAGATGAATGAATGAATCCTATATAAGAACCAAGACAGAAGGGGCAATCCTTACAGAGGGGAGCACATTCCCCCTGGTATGAAAGCATGACAGGATATGACAAAGAAAGGCCCAGCAATTACATCACTTCTAAAAGCCTGTGGCACTTTAGACTGTTAGAGCAAACTTTTACAGAAACTCAAAACTCAGCTCAAACATCATCTCCTTTGGGAACTTGTCCTGGCTCCTCCATGCATCCTCTGTGAGCTTTTAGCTACATTGTATTTGTATAGTTTACAGTGTCAAGCCCACTCACTGCATTATTTGCTCCATTTCACTTGACTATGAGCTCTGTGAAAGCAAGAATTGAAGTCCCTGGGGAGCTGACTGGACGAAGTACAGTGGGTTGGTAAGTGAATAGAATTGAAATGACCACTTGGCTTGGATGAAGCAAGAGCACACTGCAGTGTGATGTGTGCTGTGATGGAGGATGTACAGAATGGCAGAGGGCAGTCAGTCAGAGGAATACCTCTTTCTGCATGATAAAAGATCAGATGTCCTGATCCCACGTTTGTGGTAGTCAAGAGCTCAAGGTCTGAAAAGTCTCATAGGCCTTTCCTAACTCCCAAACTGCTGAGCTAATAAATCCTTAAGAACAGATACCAATAAATCCTTAAGAACAGATACAAGTATAACATCTGCCAAGGTACAACTCAGCTCTTTAGTAAAAGAATAAGCAAAAATACACTATTTTTTAAAAAGTAATCTGAGTGGTTAGGCTCATATATAAAATCAAGAGCAAAATATTATCTTTCTCCAAGGAAAAATTACCTATCTGTGCCCAATATCTAACTTCTCAAGATGATTAAAAAGCTCTATTTGGCCTATCCAACCTCTCCATCCTTTAGATTTGGGCTCAAGCCTCATTTTCTCAGGAAGTATAATCTCTGACCTTCCTGAACAGACCTCACCTCCTCCCCAATCCTATTCCTGCATGATCAGCTCTTGGATCACCAAAGGCCTCCCCACTCATAGCAGTTATGGCTGGAATTGCATATGTAGTCACACAATTATTTATTATCTTGCCTCACCTACTAGACTATAAGCTTCACAAGAGTAGGGGCAGTTTATACTGTATTCCTATCACCTAATAGAGGTGCTGGCACAACCAAGTGCTTGAGAAATAGCTAATGACTGAGGTAGCCGCTACATGCTATGTATATGCCAGTCACAGGAGTCACAGAATTCCAAACCAATTCTGATAAGATTTCAAGGTGTTAACAGGTCCATTCACCTAGAAATGCTGCTAACAGGTCTTATGGAAAATGAAAACTACCTACAATCACAAAAATTAATAATGAAAAAATTAATCCTAACATACTGACACTTTATAAAAACTGACCCTTTGCATCTAAATATAGAGGTTAACTCCATGTCCAAATGACAAGGGAGAAGAAAATCACATTTAGAATGAAGAATAAATTGGTTAACTTGTTCATTACCAAACAGCCTTCAGTTATCCAATGATGTCTAAAATTCATGCAATGAAAACACTTTTTATAGGACCACCTATACTACATTAAATGATTCTAATTTCTCTATAATAAGAACAAACAATTTCAGAATATCTTTTTAATGTACATTGCCACCTCCAGGGATCATTAACATTTAACAAGAAAATAGTATTTAGTTTATTGTACTGAGCTAGTTAACATTTATTCCAAGATGAGAAACATAACGTGGTTAACCAAATCATACTCCCCAAACATGTTTTAACAGAAAATAAATATTTTCCTTAAGTAGGTAGCAAGTCCCCCAAAAACTAGTGAGCAAAGAGGGATCTACTGGCCTGCTCGCTAAGACTGCTGAATGACTGATAGCTCTAAGCATTTGCCCTAGCAGTTGAAATCAATTAATCATTCACTGTAACTGGAGCAGAATATAATTAATTATGTTAGCTTGACTGATTCAAGTTTAATTCCACTAAAAAATCATTATAAAAAATGTTATGAATATAAGTCATTATCATGAATTTCTGCCAAAATAAAAACAAGTAATAAATGAGCTGCTACATTAATTTGATTCACATTTCTTAAACTTTATGGAAAGTCTCAAATATAAACATAGAAAATAGCATAATGAATCCCCCAAGTACCCATCACCCAGCTCATCAATTATCAATTCAAGGTCAATCTTGTTTTACTTAAACTCCCTCACTCTACCTAACTCCAATTATTTTTAAACAAATGCTAGACACGGTATCATTTCATTTTTAACTTTCAATTTCCATCTCTAAAAGGACTCCTTTTACAAATGTAACCAGGATACCATCATCACATTTGAAAATAATTGCAAAATCTGTAAAATCATCTAATAACCACTTAGTTGTCATATTTCCCTATAATCTCATTTTTCACTAAATTCATTCAAATTGGGATCCAAATAAGTCCACTGTATTGTAGATCTGAAGTTTCCTTTAATCCATCTTTTTCTTTTTTCTTTGCAACTCAAGGTTGAAGCAACAGGATCATTTGTCCTAGTTTTCCAGAGTCTGGACAGTGCTAAGCGAATCCTTTGTGGTTTCACCTAGCAGGTTCCTCTGATTCTTGTACTTGTAGTAAAGAGGTGGTTGATCTGGAGGTTCGATCGGGATCAGATTGACGTCTGGCGGGACTGCTGCAAAAGTGGTGTTTCCTTTAGGAGGCACAAAATGTCTGCTCTCTATGAGGTTAGTAGTCACTGGTGATCTCTGTCTAGATTCATTCACCATTTGGGTTAAAATGGTGAATTTCCATCTGTTCTCTTTCCTAAGCTGAACATTTAAGAGCATATTCCAAAGTTAAGTGTGATTTTGTGAACTAGCATTAATTCACAGAGTACAACACAATGATAAACTTCAATCTCTCTCTTAATAATACAAAATTTTTTTCAACTTTGGCCTATGGGAACTCCTTCATGGTGTTCCCTGAATCTTTAAGAGGGTCTTTAATAGTTTCCTTGACTTCTGGTATGAAAGAATGCAAGGGCTCACCTACTTATACAAAGAATTGGATACAGAAATGATGAGAAAATGACATGGAAAAAGAGATGCAAAGGGAAGTTGTTTTTAATCAAGAACATAAAACCAGAAATGCTAAAACTGAAGCTGAGTTCTGTGGGGCAAACTGATCATCTTTTCAGTTTCTCAGAAGTAAAAATGCTTTTTAGGAAACTAATTTCTCACAACTTTAGTTGACATCTCTAAAGGTAAACTGTCCCTGGCAGCTACCAACCGCTTCCAATTTGCTCTCCAGCTTTGGGAAACCCTGACCCTTTAAATCTGGAAAAGAACGTATCTTCTTCAGCAAAGAAGGGGCACAACAAGAGAGGGATGAAGACAAAGAAATATGGTGATGGTTCAGGGGTGACATGGGGGCTCCAATGATGTAAGAAAAACACTTTAATTAAAATGGAAAAAAAAAGGAACACATCTTTTTGTACCTCTGAAATGGGCTGTCCAATTTTGTAATGCATTTACTACATGGACTCTCTTACATCTTCAATTAGAAATACTTCAGACCAAACATTTTCTCAAGCGCAAGCACACACAACCATACAGCTGCCAAGGACACTAATTCCACCTTTGAAAAAAAATCGTTAGGTGTTAAAATGCACAGATCACAGGAGAGAATAAGAGTACTCTGCTTAATGTGAATAAATCTGTAGTTGCAACTAGTCTGTGAAAATGACAAAAATGAAGTATCCAAAATTCAAAGTGCTTAAGATACCACAGGAAAAAAAAGACTGATCAGATAAAGTTCCTTCATTTAAAGAAGTCCTTCCCAAAACTGTGATGATTTCCTGGCATTATGGGGAACACTAAGTCCAGAAATGGTAGTAACTTATTGTAGTGCTGATTCTGTGAATTGTTGACTGAACTCAGAAATCTGGAAAAGGAGTGTGGCAAAAATGGGCTCAACAGTCCTCCAATAGTCAGTGTTTAAATCCTCCAAATACACACAACAAGACTGATGCAAAACAAAACCAAAACCCCTAAGGGAAAAACTGATTATCACTGTACACACAGGAGCATCAGTCTAACTGAAAGTGGCAGGGAACTCTTAGTGAACTTTAAGCTTAGAGTAATAATAGGGCAGTGCAACCCCGAAGAGGGAGAAGGGACCATGGTGCAGAGCCCCCTATAGCTATTGACTTGGGCATAAACCAACACCTAGACTCTTAAGACCAGGCACTGCCCTGGATACAGGGGTGTGCGAGCATGCACCCAGGATGGAGGATGCATTGCAGGAGAGCTACAGAGCTGAGGACACATAGCATGAACTATTGGCTTGAATCTGAGGCTCATAATACACAAAAGCTGCAGCCTGAGTTGGGTCAGAGTGCCTGGACTCCCTATAGAAGAGACTATATAAGTCCAGGCTGAGATAGCTCAGACACTTGCCACCTGCCAACACCTACCCTGGGTTGAGACATCTAAAATACTTGCCAGGCCCTTCAAAGAAGTACTTTACAACAGGGATTTTCAAAGTCTGGAGTCTACTGGAGGTGATCCTTTGATGCCTATTGCCCCAGTCCTCTTTTAAACCAACTACCCCTCACCAGTACCAGTCCCCCCAACTACTCCAACAGTAGAAAAACAACAGTGGAAAATGTATCCTTACTGAAACACAGAAATATGAAGGGTAAAATTCTAAATAAAGTTTAAGCATTCAATTTGTATTTTCAAAATATTTGCAGTCATCAGAGTATTGGTTTCATGAACAAAACTAAACATATATACATCTGAAGAATCTAAATTAAAGTAAGTAAAAAGTATTGCATTTTACTCATTTAACAAATATGCATTTATAGCTGGTCTCAGCTAAAAGATCTGAGGGATGATTAACTATTCTGGGCTTACAGTTCTCTTTCTAGATAAAACTGGAATGCCAGTTATCTCCTTATTTGTTATTAGTGTGACGAAACAGGAAGCTGTGGCTTGGTTATTTCAAAACAATACTTATCATTAACTAGACATCTAAAATAAATAAGGTACCTACCATTCAAAAGTTTGTAATATACACATAAGACCACAGTTTCCAAAATGACTCAGCTCTTCCATCAACACAAATACTTTTAAGCACTTATAATACTGATTAGAAATAATGTGAAACAGTTGAGACTAGTAAGGTGTTTTTTAAACGTTCATTGTGTGTATACAATAATCATAAATTTCCTACATGGACTCCTAACTAGGAATAAAGGTATCTATATATTTGTGTAGGAAGAGACAATCCTCTTTCTGCTTAACAATCTCTTTCATTTAATAAGGAATCTTCTTTTGTTCTCAGAGTTCAAAGAGTATGGAACCTTTAAGTTAATTTCATCAAGTCTATTTATTAATGCATTTCAAGTTTCAAAAATCCTTACATGTTTCCACAATACTTTATTTTTTGCAATTTTTAGTAAAAATTTCCAAAGTGAACAAAAAGATACTGTATAAAACACAGTGGACATTAAACTGACAGTAGTATTAGATCTCATTTGTCTTGATCTGTTTGTTTTACCACATTTTGATTTGCAGTGGAAAGAATTCAGTGCACGTATCTCTTTTCAGAAAACATTTAACTTAGACGCAAAATAAAATAGTGCAGTATGTAACTGCCAAAACCCTACCACAGGATAACATTACAAGCAAAAAATGTACATGTTCCAAAGTCTACCACACTCAAGAAGTTACTAAGAACTCTTGCAGAATAAAAGTCACCATTTTAGAAATGCAAACCACTTCCAATCTTTGCACAGTCCAAAAACAAAGGCATTTAAATGATTTAAAAGCAATTACATACATGATCTACCTACTTGTTTGTTTAGAATTATTTATAGTCTATCTGGAGTTTCATGTACAAAATTTGTCTCTAAATCATGTACAAAAAGCTGTATTTTGAAAAAAGTCACAACATACTGTACAAGTTTACAAGGAAGAGATCCCATTATTTTCTCTAGCATTTTTGGCCTTGCTGGCTTGCGTCACATTATGAGAATGATTGTGTAAACCTTATACTCTTAAAGAAAAAAAAAAAAAAGAAAAGAAAAAAAGTCAAAACACAAATCTTTTTCAACTTTCCCTAAATTGCTTCCTATGTGAAGCCAGGAAAATCATAGCTGTTTATTTCTAATTTAAGTGATGTAGCTGGAAAACAGAAGCAATAAATACGTCACAAGCTTAAAAATGTTTTTGTAATGCCCCCTTCCATTCCTGCATAGCAATAAGCCATTAATACAGTAAGTGCTTTTGCTTTCTTTAAAATGCCAATTATTTACATCTGTTTAAAAAATAAATTTGGAATGGGACATTGTGCTGTTTCACCTTCATTGTTGTTAAAATATTTTAGGGAAAAAATGTCAGAAGGCCTATCTATAATTTTAACTACTAGTTGAACAAATTACTCTTCTTTAGTGGTTACTAATAATCAGTGATGATATGCTATTAAAAAAAGTGTTCAAAGATTTCCATAAAATAAAGACACATCCTTTCACTTCTCTATTAGACAAAAACAAAACATAATTAGCATACTTTAGATAAATGGAAAAACAAAGAAGAAACTACAAATAAAAAAGAATCACTTAAAGGACATTAATTTCTACCAAAGCATGAATAAAATTTCACCTATCAATTCAAAATGAAATTGAATTAGAAAGTTGAAGCAGAAATCAGACATTTACATAAAGAACCAAGTGAAGTAGTATGCTGCATGTGTCCAGTCTGCACAGCACTTAGCTGTGTTGTTTGGCGCAGTCCATTCCTGCGCTCTTAGCAGCCATTGGATAAAGACAAAATGAATATCAGAACCAACTCCATCATAGGAAAAAGGTAAATTGATTCTCGGTTCAAAACTGCCTGTGTAAAGCATTACAGAATCCTGGACCACTGACTCCCCCCATTCTCTGTTATCCTGAGTATGTCAATTAAACAGTAATTTTTCATTAAGAGCGGAAAATTTTTATAATACAAAGAACCATCCATATTGCAATTTCTGTTTACAATTGCACACAGAAGTACAGTGTACGTAAGAAATACATGTCTGCATATAACAAGGTATGTACATTGGCAAGTGATGTCTCCAATGTTGAGGTGGTCAAGCCTCCTAGCCTTGATTGGCAGTTGAAAAAAATATATATATTTCAATTTGTGATAAAAGTTTATCGAGAGCCAAGTTTGCCTGCAAGTGAAGAAAATGCAGCAACGAAGAACAGGGAACATGGGGCACATAATAATATTCTAAGACTTTGTGCCATTAGGTTAAAAATATCTGTCCATAAGAAAATTGGGTTCCTTTTCCACCTCCCACCCCCAAATCGGAATTTTCTGGCTTTAAAATTTAAGTAATTCCACCTGGTCTGAGGACATGATTTCTTGCCATATTTTTCCTTCGACTTGTTTCTTGTACTTGAGGGTTTAGTTTGGGGATGATGATTTAATAGTTTTCTCTTTGGAGTGAAGTTTTCCCATTGTAGGCACTAGGAAGAACCAAGGCAAAAGCTGCAGTTAACGTCTCATGTGTCCCATCTGATAACTCTCCCGGGGCCTCTGACGCTGGGGTGGCTGATGAATGGGCTGTGGCGGTCTCCTCCTCTTTAAAGTGCCTATGAGTCACAGATGAAAGAAACAGAGATTTAACATGACCTTTTTAGCCTTAAAAAACAAGGATGTGGGCCTCCCCGGTGGCGCAGCGGTTGAGCGCTGGGTTGCAAAGCTGCCCTCGGCCTCTGCGGCGCCGGTTCGATCCCCGGCTGCTCCCCGGCCACCGGAGGAGGGTCCCACATGGCGCGCAGAACTCTCCTGCCGCCCGCTGCTCCCCTCAGCAGTGTACTTCGGTCCCTCTGCCTGCTCTGCTCCCCGCTCTGGCTCTGGTGAATTCTCTCACCCTCCCGCGCTTCTGACTGTACCCAGTGCATGTATAAACAAAAACAAACAAATAAAGAAAGAAAGAAAACATGCCTCTCTCTATATATATATATATAAAAAAAAAAAACAAAAAAAAAACAAGGATGTCATTTCAGTAAGAAAGGCTCTAAGATACTGGTGCTGTCCAACAGAAATATAACATGAGCAACACCTATAACTTTAAATTTTCTGGTAGCTATAATGAAAAAAAGTGAAAAAGAAACATGGAAAATAATTTTAAAGTATTTTTTATTTCACCTAATCCAATATAGCCAAAATATTATCTTAAGATGTAATTAACATAAAAATTATTAGTGAAACATTTCATCCTTTTTTTAAATACTGAGTCTTCAAATTCTGGTATAATTTTGTATTTACCAAACATCTTAATAAAAACTAGTCACATCTCAAGTGTTCAACAGTCACAACTATTAGATTAATATGGACTCTGGGGACAGAATTCATGATGAAGCATTTACTGAGTATCTTTTAGCAAATGACTTAACCTCTCTGAATCTCGATGTCTAATCCGTAAAACAGGAACGATAACTCATTCATACACTCTGGTGAGGTGTATATGATCATTTATGTAAAGGTGGTTAACACTTCCTGCGAGGGTTCAATAAATGACAGCTAAATTTTTTAAATGTGGAATTTGCTTAAAGTGAAATCAAGTAAAAGAATTCTTGCAGTGAATGAGGCCATAATTGATAAAAAAAAAAAAAACATGTCTATAAAGTTATGTGGGCTTGAAATGCCAAAAAAAAATTTGGTATAAATCCCAGAGTTCTAACATCATGAATTTATGAAAAGCAATCATGTCAAAATCAAATTCTTCTGATTCACACCAATATACTCTACCAGCATGATTATCGGGCTTTCTTGTCCCAATAGGTAAATGCAGGGGAACAGCCAAAGGAAAACAGAGAAAATTTATTAAAAATAAAAACAAAAACCCTAGTTCTAAACTACTTTGTGTAGAGTAGTGGATTTTGCCTGAGACAAGAGGCTTCTCTAGAAGACCATGGGAGGCAGAGGAAGGAAGTGCTGTCTCTTAGCTCAGATCTCCTCCGCATCACCTTGGAATAATGTCTAGCCCACAATGGGAATGAAAATAGTTCTGGTCCAGGAATCCTGAGGGCAGCAGAGAAACCACAAATACCTTGGGGAGGAAGAGGGATGGGGAAAAATTGGGTCTAAATAATCTGGAGCAATTGCTTCTAACTTTTTTCTTGTCTAAATCTCTGGAGCTAATCTAAAAAGGGTCCTCCTCCCAATGCCCTGTGTCTCCCTGAGAGGTGATGGATGGAGAACAAACCTGAGGAGTTGTTTACAGAAATGAAGAAAAGCTAATTATTTGGCACTTGAAGCCTCTACCTGAAGACTCTCTCACAGACTGGAATTTGCATTTCCCCATCATCACGCCTAGGAAAAGTGATTGTATGTGCCAGAAAGTATTTCAAGATTATAAATTGCAGAACACAGCTACTAGCTAGAAAGACCAATCATTTAAAAGAATCCTCTCATGATAAAAGCAAAAAAGGGGACCTATGGAACATGAAACAAAAATGAGAAAGCAAGTACCAAGCAAATATAAAATGTCTAGGTCTAATTAGTTTTAGACATTCTGGATAGATTAGCATCATATTGGCAGCCATTAGCTAGATTGGGTTGATAAGACATACCCTTAAAAGTCAACTAAATAATTCAGCTAGTAATCTTATCCTCAAAGAGAAAGTACTATAAAGTTAGTTACTAAAACCTCATTTATAATTCAATCCTATCTGCTGAATGGTTCTGAGTTATAAAAACCTATGCCTTGTTTAAATGGTCTTACCTGGAAGAGGTTTAGGAGGAGGCAACTTTGGATTACTACTTGGAGTATGAACACTGCATATCTTAATAAATCCAGCCATTAACATGATGAGGGCAATTCCCATGAGTAACACGGCCCACCAATGAGCCTAGAAAGAAACAGATGTCTCCACTGAAAAAAATCATAAGATATCTTCGAATATTTTATGTTGTATAAAATATATAATAAAATTTTTATTTTTAAAGAACAAGGTTAGGAATTATATTAGTCGTATATGACTACATAGATAATAATTTCCTTAAATAGAAGAAAAACATAAAGAAAACAAAATATCACTCACAATATCACTTCCTAGTAAAAAATACTCTTATTTTTCTGTCAGTCTCTTTTCGATATATGTAACTGTACATCATAAACAGCGAGAAATGCACATGCACACCAAGGTCACCCTGCATGTAGTTTACATTGTATTTTCTCATGTGATTGAATATTTTCTGATTTGAGTATTCTTCCCTGCCCTTTTTTGCCTGTTATTCTTAAACTATGTTTTGTTTGCTTTTATAGTCTCCAATGGCTTATAACATGACAACTTAGAACTGGATAGACTTTATCAAATACTCTTTGACCTATTTTCTTTCCTAATTATTAAAGTTAAGACTGAAAACCTGTCTTCCTCGTGGCTTCCTTTTTCCTACTCCTATATTTCATCTGGAATTTGAGACAGAATACTGTTATGAAATTATTTTTATATGACACATGGTAACAGGTAGAAAGATACATGGATACATAAATAAATTTCAAAGTTAAATGTCTTTTTTAATATGAAAAGTGGAAGATATATACATTCTGGATATATACATTCTAGGTAGCAGGCAAAGTTTATTCAATCTAAGAAACTAAAAATTTCACTTCTAACTTAAATCATATTAAGCAAATCAATTAGCCAAACAAAAGGGCCTTAAAAAATGATTAATATACTAATATATATAGAAAAAATTATGTTTCCATTCTTAATATATTCTAAATCTATTCTGCAATTCAAAATATTCAAACAATTACAACTTAAAACTATGCAAAACAGTTACAACTTTAAACTATGAACCTTCGTATTGGCATAGTACATAGTTACTGCTTATTGTAATAAAACTTCCATTCAGGAAGGTGTTTTATGAACTGGAAGTCTTATAATAGTCTACCACTTCTATACAGTTTTCTTATTCAGCAGTGACAACATAATTATAGTAATAGACACTAAAATAAAAACAAAGCCATTTTCCCCATGTGTACATAAAGCTGGTCACATATTTTTAAGATCTGATTAATTTTGAAAAACTCTCAAACTTATAGAAAAGCTGACAGTACAGTACAAATAACTTCTTAAAATCTGGAACTAGCATGATGTCCTGTTAGACCTGAACATTTTAGCATATGATTTCTACAACATAAGGGTGTTTACATAGATAACCAAAACACAATAATCAAAATCAGGAAACTAACACTCATACATTACTGCCGTTTACTCCTCAGGCCCCATCCAAGTTTTTCCATTGTTCCTAATAAGATCCAATTCAGATTATATTGTTGCATTTAGCTAATGTATTTCTTTAGTCTCCTGCAATTCCAGTTCCAGTCTTTCCTTGACTTTCATAACCCTGACATAAATGCCTCTCTATTTGGGTTTATAATTAGGTTCAGAACATATATCTTTGAGGAAATACAAATGGCCAACAGGCATATGAAAAAATGTTCAACATCCCTTATCATCAGGGAAATGCAAATCGAAACCACAATGAGATACCAACTTACACCAGTAAGAATGGCACATATCAAAAAAACAAGCAACAAAAATGTTGGCAAGGATATGGTGAAAAGGAACTCTCCTACATTGCTGGTGGGAGTGCAAACTGGTCCAACAACTATGGAAAGCTGTCTGGAGGTTCCACAGTCTACTAAAAATGGAGCTACCGGATACGACCTGGCAATTCCACTCCTAGGGATCTACCCAAAGGACACAAAAACATTGATTCAAAAGAACACCTGTACCCCTATGTTTACTGCAGCACTATTTACAATAGGTAAAACCTGGAAACAACCCAAATGCCCAAAAATAGATGAATGGATCAAGAAGATGTCGCATATATACACAATGGAATACTATTCTGCAATCAAAAAAGATAAACTCATGCCATTTGCAGCAATACAGATGGAGCTAGAAGGAATTATGCTCAGTGAAATAAGTCAGAAGGAAAAATAAAAATATTGGATGGTTTCACTTATAGCAGGAATATAGGGGAACCAAATAAGACATCAGGGGAAAAACATAATAACAGCACAAAACAGACAGACATAAACCAGAGACATTCTGCAGGGGAGGAGGAGGGAGAGGATCAGAGGGAGGGAGGGAGAAGCACAGGGAACTGAGGTGATGGTGCACGGGTACATTGGTGAGGGGAATTCTATGGGGACTACACCTGGGCGGGGCGGGGATGGGGGAAGCAAACATTGTTTAAAAATGACCAATGATGTAAAAAATATATAAATAAAATATTTTTTAAAAAAAGAACATATATCTTTGGTAAGAATATCACAGTTCAGGCTGTCAGGGGACACGTGATTTTGATCTCATTACAGATGATGGTAACTAGATCACTAAACTAAGATGCAATCTGTCAAAGTTTACCATAAAGATACCCTTTTTTCTTTTTAAGCCAGCGAATATTTTAAAGGGACAATTTGGAATTATGTAAATATCCTATTCTTTATCAAATTTTCAATTTATTTATTACCTCATAGTTTCCTATTTGTTACAACAGGTTCTAATTCATTACTATCAGTACTGTGTCTTTTGGATATGTTCACATCATTCTCTGAGCATTTATTTTTCGGACAACAAGTTCCAGGCTCATCGTATTTCTTCCCTGCCTCAACTCTCAGCCATTTCCCCAAAGAGTGCTACTTCCTTTTAGAACTCCTATGTAGACACAATCCTTATAACACCTGTACTGATATCCCTCTGGGGGCGCCCTTCTCACCCTGCTGGAGCTGTGATACCACCTATTAGTTTTCTTCCAGATTCCTCCTGCTCCCCACTCTGGTCAGGCTCCAACATCCTACACTTGCACTACAAAGATCCCCACCTGGCATGATGCCTAACTTGCTTGGTCTCACCTAGTGGCTTAAGAAATGAACTGTTCAAGAAAGGGGAGGGAACAGAAAAGGGAAAATCTATATATTTTATTATGTATTCAACCTTTAAAGCAAACTTAGAATGATTTAGACAAACTATGATTGCTCAAAACTACTATACATTTCCCAGATTATACCTCTGAGTAAGAAAGCTCCATTGTCATCTTTCTCTCCATTTTCATTTTATTCTTCAGTCTTTGAACGTTTCTCATGTTTGTACCTCACTCACTCATTACTGCAGGAACTGCAGCTTCAAATGTCTATAAGGCAGATAAAGTGTAATGTAATGCACTTTAGCCTCATTCCTGAAAGACTGTTTTTCAAGAGAAGCTACAAATCTGAACTTTTACATGAAATCTATTTTTTAAATGCTCGCAACTCATTCAGATTTTCTAAAAACAATGCTTTCTAAAAACAGTATGTTTATAAAGTTGAATTTGACTATGAAACCACATGTTTATGATCTACTTTTCAGAAGTCACTTTTTTAATTTATTGTCTTTAGGATTTAGAGAAAATAACTTTCGGAGCTCTGCTGTTCCTATGAATCTTTAGGATGATTTCCCTTCCCCTTGTTGTATAAATTTTCCACAGACCCCAGTTGTTTTTTTATTTTATTTATTCTCAAATAACAGATCAAAAGAAAATTTTTAAGGCCTGCCCTTCAATCTGCCAACTCAAATGCTGGTTGACTTCTCTTTTCATTTCTGACTACTATCAGACGAAAGACCTGTATGCATAGCTTCTGTTGTCTTTCTAGCGGCCAGAAATCTTTTAAATATGATAATGATTAAATAGGACCTTCTTCCACCTCCACAGTGGGGATATTTGACATGCTGACCTAGTAAAATATATAAAGAATCAAAATCACCAGTATGCACTTCTTTAAGTGCTCTTTCTGCTTCACACCAGAGGTTCTCAACCTTGGTTGCATATTACAATCACTTGCATGGAGACTTTTTAGAACTGACATCCAGACCAGTTAAAAGGAGGGTCGATGGGATCCTAACATCAGTAATTTTATTAAAGCTGCTCAGATGATTCCATTAATCCACCAAGACTGAGGACTATGTACTAGGTCTCTACCAGGGGTTAGCAAACTTTTCTTTAAAGGGTTGACAATAAATGGATTCATTTAAAAATAGGTAATATTTTAGACCTTGCAGCCTAATAATAATGCCAATAAAACACTATTTACAAAAACAGGGATCAGAACAGATTTGACCCAAATATATTCCATTAGTTTGGGATGCTATACCCAGATGCATACCACTTAACACTAAAACTCTTTAGCTGTTTCTCTATCCTGCTTAAGAGTTTTGGGGGTAAGTGAACGGATGTAGAATCTTAGACTAGAAAAGGCTGCTCAAATAATCAAATAATCAGCATTCACATGCTAAAGAAATGGTTTCCATGCCTGAGTACATCTAAGAATCCTCTGGAAAGAGTATGAAAGCAGATTCTTAGGCCACAACCCTACAAATTCCAATTCAGCTGCTGGGGTATGGGAGGGAAAGGGTGACAGATTATTACATTTTAAGTAAGTACAATGATGACAAAAATGCAGATGAGTGCATCTTATGTAGTGTTGATAAGTTGGAATTTGTGGTACAGGACCATTTTGAGCATGCAGAAAATTAGTAAACCCTGGCCCTCACCCACAAAAAGCCAAGACGGACCCTCAATTACTCTGACTACTGTACATTTCCAAATATACCTGTGGAGGCATTATCACTTCTAATGTGATCCTATCCATCAGCAAAAAGGGTCAAGGGTCTTCCTACTACTTTCAGGCTAAGCTAGTTTGGTTACAAGACTGTTCTAATGTTCATTACATTATCTGACACATTTCTTTCCTTCAAATCTTCCCTGCTCAAAACCATCTTCCATATGGCTATCAATGTTATGACAACCGAATATATAGAACTATGTCATTCCTCTATGTAAAACCCTTCTCCAAAAGCTTCTCCCCCACAAAAATCTCAAAGTTCGATCATTAAGTGGGAAAGAGGAAAAAAGAAAAAAAAAAAAGTTAAGGATATAACATGCAGCAAGTAAAGTATGATTCCACTTTTTAAAACAAATATTCTTGTAATAGTATAGACAGTTTCTGAAGAATACAGAAGAAACTCGTCTTGGGAATACTGGGAGTCCCGGGTAAAAAGAAAACTTACTTTTCAACATTCTACTTTTCACAATTAAAAAAATAATAATAATCATAACTTTCAAAAAGAAAAAAGTAGGAAAGCTTTTTTTTTTTTTAATTCATATTCTGTGACTTTTTCAAGAAATCCCTCTTTATAGAACACCCACCTATACCCTCTACTTCTATTTAAGTCCTTAAGAACTTTGCTCTGGTATCATATCTTTAAAGAGGCCTTGTCCAAGAAGGTTCTTCAATTTTCAGTGAAAACACCATAGAGAACTAAAAATATAGTTCTATATGCCTGTCTTCTCTATCCCAAAATGGACCACAAACTCTTTGAATTTATATTCTCAAACTCAGTATTTACCCCCCAAAATGTACTGCTGGGCTAGTTATTATGGGTACTATTATTCCAAATGCTGACTTTTATTTTTTTTTCTTTTAAAGATTTATTTATTTATTTGTTTGTTTGTTTGTTTGTTTGTTTATACATACATACAAGCACTGGGTACAGACAGAAGCGCAGGAGAGTGAGAGAATTCACCAGAGCCAGAGGGGGGGCAGAAAAGGCAGAGTGACGAAATACACTGCTGAGGGGAGCAGCAGGCAGCAGGAAAGGTCTGCGCGCCATGTGGGACCCTCGCCCGGCAGCCGGGGATCGAACCGGCGCTGCAGAGGCTGCGGGCAGCTTCGCAGCCCAGCGCTCAACCACTGTGCCACCGGGGAGGCCCTAAATGCTGACTTTTAAACACTCCTAACAGTTCATTTATTATTTCTAGGTTGCTCCCACACATAAACAATGGGACATGGTTCTTCTAACAGAGACATAAAATTGCAGCACTGCCACAATGAGATACTACCTCACACCTGCAAGAATGGCTGCTATCCAAAAGATCAGAAACTAGTGCAGGCAAGGATATAGAGAAAAAGGAACCCTCGTACACTGTAGGTGGGACTATAGATTTTGGTCCAGCCCCAACAGGAAACAGTATAGATACTTCTCATTGCTAATTATTTACCCAAAGAATGCAAAAAAGACTAATTCAAAAGGATATATGCACTCCTATATTAATGCAGCACTATTTACAATAGCCAAATTACAGAAACAACCCAAATGCCCAAAGACAGATGAGTAGGTCGGGAAATGTGGTCTATACAGCAGAACACTACTCAACTATTAAAAAAAAAAAGATGAGATCTTGCCATTTGCAACATCATGGATGGAACCAGAGGGGATAATGTTAAATAAGTGAGAAGGAAAAAGACAAACACCAGATAGCTTTACTTATAAGTGGAATACGTAACAAAAAAACAAAAGGTCAGACAAAACCAAACCAGTAACCCTAGAAATCTGTGGAACTGAGGCTACAAGAGGGGAAGAGGGGAAAAAACAGTAGGGAGGGGGCACAATGGGCTGTGGGTACCCTGGTGATGGGTGTGGTGTGGTGACATGCACCTGAAGAGGTATGATCTTATGCCTTTGAATCACATACAGTGTTGTAAAGCTACGTTACCTCAATTAAAAAAAAAAAAATACTGTGGTTTTGATAATTCTAATACTAGTTCTTCAGATCTATGCAGTCTTTAAATAAGGAGAGATACAAGTAGTATGGCAGCAAGAGAAGCAGACTGGAAAGAGAAAACCTGGATATTTCATAGTGGCTATAACTTAGTAGAAAACAAAGGTTAAAAGTACTAAGTCACAGTTCTGATACACAGGTCCTTCAGAACTTCTAGTTCCTTCTAGCAGTATTCCTGGTTCTCCTCCAAATTTTCCTAGGTAACTACATATCTCAAAAACCCAAAACTTGAGATGATTTAGCGACAATCATAGTACCTGCCCAGAGTTTAGTATCGAAGGAAATAGAACAATACAGTGTAAAGAAGCTAGTGAGAAAAACTAAATAATGGTGTGTTGGATACTGTTAGTTAATATGGCCATCTTTGGTAGAGAGTATTTTTTAATGCTCTCTTTAAAAGAGAATTATCAGAGAGTAGATTGAAAGTTAAATTGCATGTTTCCCAAATACATAGTAAAATCAGGGAGAAGAATACCAACCAGGCTAATAAATGCAAAATAAGTGTTTCATCTCAAAAGAAAACATCACAATTTGTCCACTTGTTAGAGTCTGAAAGAAAGGAGAGCTATCATTCATTCAACAAACTTTAATGAGTATAAATTACACACCAGGTGCTTATTATCTTTCATAGATACAGGGTGTTAAGTATAACTTAAGGAGACAAAAAGAAGTCATTCAAAAATTTTTTTAAAGCCCAGAAGTTAACAATCATTAAATCAAGTCCGATAAAATAATTTTACATTTAGAAACAGAGAGATGTTGTTAAATACAGTCATTTAAATGGCCAAAAGTAAGCAAAGTTGAAAATAGGAGCAAAAATGACCAAATGTCTAAATTTACTAATTTATTATATACTGATTATAAGTTGTAATAATTTAAACAAAAAGGACTTATAGGATTAAAAAAATGATAAAACAAATATTCCAACCCCATTCCCCCAATAAGAGATGAAGGGCAAGACAAGCATTCAAGTCTCTTCAGACATAAAATAGTCTTTACTGTTTTTTAAAGAAGAATTCCAGAAAAGGTCAATCACATATCATCTTTTCAGTGGATGTTCCAAGGTTTAACAATTCTTACTCTCAGCAAATGCACTCTAGATTTCCTGTAGATCACAAGACCACGTGGGGCCCACATTTTCTTCTCATGATACTGCTTATGCCATCCTGCAGGACAGAAGGCTTCCTTTTTATCTTTCAGAAGACACTACAATCTAGACTTTGAATACTGTTCTGTCCTTCACCAGCCCATGTGCTACCCTTCACACCAATCTGTCAAGCAGAAAGCAAGTGGCTATTGTCTTTTAGTTAAGGTCAGCCTGAGCATTCAGGATAAAACACCATGAAAGGAAACTTGAAAATATCACAGCTTCAACGTTAAGATACCATGCACAACCTTTTTTTCATTTAAGTTATGACATTTAAGAAATCTGCTTCCTTCATCTAGCATATATACTAAATCCTGACTGTAAGCTAAGTTCTATAATGACAATTGCATCTTTGTTATTAAAGTTCTTAAGTTATAGCTTAAGCAATGAAGAACTCTAGAGGTCCATGACCACCTTCCATTTTCGGCATTGTCAGAATGATAAAATAGAAAGTTTCTGCTACACATCTTTTAAAAAGGAATCATCAGATAGCAAAGACTGAAAAAAAATGCTCCCAAACTTTCACATGCACTATCAACTACAAACTCAGTGCATCCAGGGTTGGGCCTCATAATGTGCATTTCCATAAGGTTCCCAGGTGATTCGGATACTCCGGATTCAGGGGATTACACTTTGAAATCCACTACTCTGGATCAGAGGTTGATAAACACTGCCTAGAAAATGTTAAACCCACACAGAAAACCCACATTTTATTTGTGCTTTTAAGGAATCCCCAGTTCTAAATGCACACATTAAAATGTAAGGAAATAATGTGGAGAGGGAGGCGGAGGGAGGAGCTGAATTCTAAGTCAATTTCCAAAGTAAACTCATTCAGTTCAATATAGCACAGTCTCAGATAGCTCACCTGCAAGTTTCCCGCTGTTATTTTAATGTAATCATTAGAGACAGGAATATTTAAGTGACTGAGATATAGTCATCCTTAACAACCTTTTAAGAAATTTTCGGGTAATTCAACATCTGTACATCTTGGGGAAATGTGGGCTTAAAAAAATACAGTTCAGTGGATTTATGTTGGATGAACAAAATCATTAACAAGTTTGCAAAATGCTCTGTCTCCAATCTTACTCTGGTCAGCATTTCCTATCACTGGTTAAGATGAAGACTCAGAAATTATATTGAAACATCAGAAAAAAACCTTCAGAAAATCACCAATTTCTCTTTCATCTCTCCTGCTGAGCAAAGTTGAACCCACAGGTGACTATGTAATACTGAGATGAGGGATAAGTACCACCAAAAAAAAAAAAGAAAAAGAAAAAGGCAGGCAGGGCTTTTCGAACAACTTGAAAAAAAGAGTCCCATGAAAATGCCCTAATCATGGGCCTCCCTTGGTGGCGCAGGCCGTTGAGCGCAGCACTGTGCGGCTGTCCACAGCCTCTGCAGCACCAGTTCAATCCCGGCCGGCGAGGGTCCCACATGGCGCGGAAGACCTCTCCTGTCGCGCCTGCTGCGCCCCTTAACAGTGTATTTCATCAGTCTGCCTGTTCTGTTCCCCGCTCTGTCTCTGGTGAATCCTCCCACCCTCCCGCACATCTGGCCTGTACCCCGGTTCTTGTGTAAATAAATAAATCTTTAAAAAAAAGAAAGAAAAAGAAAATGCCCTAATCATACGGATCAAGGGAGGAAGCAACCCACTCAGGACATAAACCAGGGAGCAGAGTGAAACAGAATGACTCCCATCATCTACTAACCAACCCATGAATGATACACATGAAGAGACTCTGATCACTTCAGAAGAAAAAAAATACCCAGGGCTATCTGAACTTTAAAAATCAGTTTTCAAATAAAGCAATTCCAGTATAAACAAGAAATGGGTGATTTTCTCATAATACTGGTGACCTTTAGCAGGTAAAATTATGATCAGAAATAGGTATTTATAAAGATAAGTTTTCTTTGCAAATGAATCTATACTTACCACAATCCATTCAGCAATGTTTTCATAGAGCTCTGGACTAAAAATTGCTTTTTTCAGTCTTGCTAAAGGGCCATCAGCATCTACTAATCTGCACCGCATGAAAACATCACAGTAGCCTCTAAAATCATTGCAAGGGGATCCAGGTTGGAGAGTGATGGTGCGACCAACGAAGAACATCTTCCACTGCGCAGACCCTGTACTGGCACAAGTTGATGGATCCACTGGAAAAGAAGTGGCAAAAGAAGTTGAAAATCAAGTTCTCTAACAGACCAGTTGGGGAAAGAGGGAGGGGATGATACTTCCTATAAACTTTCATTAGTTAGGCTAGATGACACCATAAATACAATATAAACAGACAACCAGTAACCCTAGACTGAGTGCCTACAATGGTTTAAATCCCCCTAACACTGTTTATATTAATTATTGCCATAAAGATGACAGATTTCAGTCTAGTTTATCATTTTGAAAAACACTGTTAGAACCATAACAGAAGTATAATGCTTTGCCACTTTTTAAAGAGTTCTCAAGAGAATTAGTCTAATTGGGAACTATCTATCCAAACTACATGTCAAAGTTTACACTTAAAATTTAGGAGAAAAATAATGGTTTTTGAAACAGACTTTACAGTCTTGCATTTTAAAAGCCTTACTCTTCTTCATACAGCAGACATGGCATAATTCTTTATCATCTTTGCCATCAGAACTTGCACAGGTACACTCCTCCAAGCCGTATTTCTCACAGATAGAGCCTGCACATTGCTGAAGGAAAAAAATACAAGAACAATTATTTAATCCCTATGCAGTCAAATCTATTACTCATAGTAATAGAAAGGCAGGTATGAGCTTCCAATGCCAAAATAGTTAAGAAGAAATCTAAGAGGGGGAGAAAAGGCATAGATAAGTATCAGAAATGGGCCATATAATTACATTTGAGAAAGAGTATGTGCAAATAAGATAGTAAATCTTTTAAAGAAATGGCAACTTAAAAAAATATCTAAACAAAACATAAACAGAAAGAAAGAGTAGATTGAGCATCTACCCCTCAGGTAGAGGAAAGTAATATTTAGCCAAGAAAGTTTTAAGGCTCAGCATTCCGAGAAAATAACCAAAAGACCTCTTTAAGTTATTAAAATATTAACTTGTAAGACTTAAAATCAATACAAAGTCACATGCCTCTTTGTATAACTGTTTTTCTCTAGAGAATATCAAACACATGGTAGCCGGACAGATGAAAGAAAAGTATGAAATAATGCCTCCAGGCACTTATACTACATTCAAAGCTTTGTGGGTAATAGAAAGGGATATTATTAAAATAGGGACCAAGATTAATTACTTTCACTCTGTAGCTATAAGTGTCAACATTACTCTGAAAAGTAGTTTTATATGGTTTAATAAAATAAAATAAGAAATATAAATAAAATACTTACCCCATTAATGCACACTTGTGTATGCCTATTACAGTCTGTAAAGTTTGGCTTAGGGTCAGATGCAGGACAGAGAGCTGTGACACCATTACATATTCCTTCTTTTGCACAATCTGAATCATCCCGACACTTCTCAGTTTTTGACTTGAATGCACAGCCTGCTGTACAGCAAGGACCTTGACTTGGACTAGAAGAAAAATTAAGTGATTAAAGTAAAACATCAAGATATTTTCTACTTAACTTAGATATGGTCCTAATTTTTACATGATCTTTTAAATGGTAAGTATGTTACTGGTATTAAATGGTAAGTATGTTACACTTTCAATATGGGAATAAGAGGCTATTTAATTTCAACATTTAATAAGTACAGAAAAGTGATTAAGTATCTCATTCTTATAATCAAGGCACACTATATTCAGCATTCTCAGTCTATTTGTCTTTGGAGAAAGGCAATGGAAATGCATTTAATTTAGTAAGTTATCTATCTCTGTTTTTCATAGTTGTATTACATAACTAGTTAATTTATCAAATGTATTCATATGCTAAAATCAAACTAAGATACACAGACCAATCATTTAAAAATATTACCTAAACAACATCCTAGTGTGTTATATCTATTTCCACCAAAGTAATATGAAAAGGGAAATAATTATATATCTAAGTTCCAAGAGTGTATGGATTTTACAATACCTCAATATTTAAATTTTATTGAGTATCCTTTGCATGTACTTTTTTAACACCTACCGCTCAAGTTAGAAGTTGTTCAATCTGCCAAGAACAGAGCACTAAACAATGCTATACACACACAAAAATAATAAATAAAACAAAGGCAAAGTTTCAAAACCAAATGCATCTCTTTATCTAAGTTTTAGGTTTGTCATACCTGCCTTCACCTAACTTTATAGGAACATTAACATTACTGGAATTAGCAAGGTACCTGCACTGTTTTCCAGGTTTCAGCTTGCATTTTTTCCCCTCTGGTTGGTTTGCATCATAGCAACACTCATCTTTACACTGGTCACTATAGCCACAATCACATTCTTCACCTTGTTCTACCATCCCATTTCCACAAATAGGCTGGCCAGATTCTGAGGAAAATAAATAACACATGATAAACATGTATGCACACATTAATTTTATTTAAAATTTATAAACACTTTTAGATGAGATGGGCACATTCAGAGTGGTGTGTGGAGGGCTAGGCTATCTTGGTAGGTATAGTGTGGTTAACAACACTTGAAAGTGGATATCCCATGCTTCTAAATCCTATCAATGTTATAAACCAATGTCACCTAAACAATAACATTAACAACAAAAAAACTCTTTTTAGAGTTTCATCACAAAAGGAGAAAGGAAAACTTTAATGAATAAGAAAAATAAAACAAATTAGAAATCTGGAAATCATTTGGGGGTCTCAGTTTCTTAATCTGTAAGTGAGAGGATTTGATCTGATGGTTCCTTCTGTAAGTATTAACATTGTATTTAGGCTATCCCATACTGAACTTTAGTGTACAATGACTGCACTATTTATAAAGATCAGTGCCTTATTAGCCAAAAATAAACCTTTCTATAATAGAAAATTTCAAACATACATAGAAGTAAAAGAATAATTACAATGATGTCATAAACCAATCACTTAGCTTTAATAACTATCAGCAATATGTTGTAAACAACTATACCTAATATGTTAATTTGTTCTTACAAATACTCCAGGACAAATCAGAGATAAGGTAATTTTTCTTCTTAAAGTCTAACCACAATACCATTGTCACATCTAACAAAATGAACAATATGCTTAACAACATCAGTGAATCCATGTCTAATTTTCTTCAATTATCTCTTTACAATTGGTTTATTTGAACCAAGTTCCAAACAAAGTTACCCCAATCCCTTCCCAAGTGGTTGCTTTCAACTGACTTGTGTCTTCATGTTCTTTTAATATGCAACAGATTTTATTCCTTTCTTTTTTATTTTTACATTATTTATTTGTTAAAGAAATTGGGTCATTTTTTTCTATAGAATTGACTATAACAAAGTCAATAAGCAATTTTTTACAAATGTAAATTAGTTTTGCTCCTCAGTTAGACCAAACTCCTTCAGGAAGAACCATGTATTATTTATATCACTTGTAGTCCCACAGAACCTAGCAGTATTAGGCCAAATCTTGGTTCATTAAGTTTTGACTATGATCTAAAGACAGCAAATAATTTCACAAAAGTTTTTAGGCTTTCAAGTTCTGTGATTTTTGTCAATGAACTTTAAAATTAGAAGAGGAGGGCCTCCCTGCTGGCACAAGGGGTTAAGCACAGCACTGTGAAGCTATCTGCAGCCTCAGCAGCACAAGTTCAATACAGCCAGGGAGTTACCAACGTGGCATAGCAGACCTCTCCTGTTGTGCCCGCTGCTCCCCTCAGCAGTGTATTTCAACCAATCCACCTGTTCTGTTCCCCACTCTGTCGCTGGTGAATCCTCTCACCCCTTCCGGCACCTCTGGCCCATAACCCAGTTCTTGTATGCATAAATAAATAAATCTTTAAAAATGAAATAAAATCATAAAAATAAAAATCATAAAATAAAACTAGAAGATGAATGCTACAATTTGTAAATCATAAAAATCACTGAACTTTAAGTGTAGCGAATAAGAATAAAATGCTGTCACAGAGTTTGTTACTTGCTAGAAATCATATGCTATAGTACAGGCAAAACATAGACTAAACTCAGGTTTCCTAAATCTAAACCTAAAATCCAGTGCTCTTTTCTATTACAGCAAATTATGTAGAATACAGTCATAGTACAGACCTTAAATTGAGAACTAAGTACAAGGAAATACATCTCAAGCACAGGGAACCAAAAAGAGGCAGATCTGCATCAAATACATTCTAGCCTTATAGTCAGAAAGTTCCTTCTTATCCCTAGCCATATCAATTATTAAAGGAAATCTTAGAGGTAACTAAAGTTCCAGTCCTATCTTTCATATTATACCATCTCTTTTGTTCTCCAAAACTAGGAGCATGTACATATATCCTAAGTAAATTATAATGATTTTTCTAAAGTCTAGTAAAAATCATTTTTATAGGAGAAAAGGGAAAATGTAAAGTTGGAAAACCTTTGAAGCACTATTTCCTACGCATTTTTCATCTCCTATAGAAATATTACTTCAAGCCAGTTATTTAGTAAGAGCTTAACTACAAAGGTCTATTTAAATGCAAGTTACAGAAAGAATATATCTTTGCCATAATTTAAGAAACAAATTTTCTTCCCATAAAACCTACAAAGCAGTATGCTCATTTTTAAAAGTCAACTTCTATTAGAAAGCTTACTGTGAAAATACAGTTAACAAATCAATATAATTTTAAAAATGGTAATTTGGACTTCATCAGAATGTAACTTTTGTTCTAGGGAACATTCTACGAAAAGGAAGACAAGACAAGCTACAGACCTGCAGAAAAACTTTGCAAACCAGTATCTGACAAATGACTAGTATCTATATTATACAAAGCATTTCAAAACAGAAAAACATCTAATTAGAAATGTCCAGGAAACATGGACAATTCACCAAGGAAGATACAGGGATGGCAAATGTTGATGTTCAATATCTATAGTCATCACAGAAATACAAATTAAAAGCACAATGAGATATCACCATACACCTATCAGAATGAATACAAATAATGAAAATACCAAAACCCAGCAAGTATATAAAGAAATTTGATTGCTCATACATTGTTGGTGGAAATATGAAATATACATTCAGTCCCAAAAATATTTTGGCAGTTTTGTTTAAATTTAAAAAAAAAAAATTTACTATATGATCCGTGCATCAGATATGGGGCATTTGTCCCAGAGAAATACAAACTTACACTCACAGAAAAAAACATGTACAGGTTACAGCACCTATATTTATAAATGCCAAAAACTGGATGGAAATAGCCCAGATGTCTTTCAACAGGATAATGCTTAAACAACTGTAGTCTACCCATATCATGGAATGTTACTCAGCAATGGAAAGAAAAAAACCACTGATATACACACGAACTGGATGATCTCCAGGAAATTATGTTCAGCAAATAAGGCCTACTCCAAAGGCCACATACTGTATGACTCCATTAATTTAACATTTTAAAGTGACAAAATTTTAGAAATGGAGAACTGTCTAGTAGGGCAGATAAATGGAGAGCAGGAGGGAGCTGGGAATGGTTATAAAAGGGCAGCAATGAGAGTTCCTTGTGGTGATGGAACTGTTTTGTATCTTGACTATGGTAGTGAATACTGAAACCTAGACATGTGATAAAAAGTTAGTAATTACAAAATGGGCAGTTAATAATTACAAAGTTAATAATTACAAAATATTCATAATGAAATGTTGGGAAAATATACATACATACCAACAAAACAGTTGTTTCTCTTCTTCTCAAGAACTTGGCTTATATTTCTAATACTACAGAGTGAGAATTTATTGTTGTTAAGTTTGTCCCCAGATGTTGCTCTTGCATACATGATGTAATTGCCATTTTCTTTCTGTCCTAAATTCTTAGATTCTCCTGGAGTGCACTCTGTTCCAGAATCATGCTGTCAAACAGAATACAGAATTACATAAACAGAAAATAAAATAAGGTTTTCAGGTCATCTGATTAAATATAATTTTCTCATCAAAAGAACAAGTTTGTGGATGCTCTTGTAGAAAGGATCTTACAATTGTTTTATACCGTGAGTAGGAAAACAGTTTGTTCTTATGAATGGAAAAATCAGTGGAGGTCCAGCTACAACACTTTATAGCTTTGCAAATGAAGAGTAAAATGGAGGACAAACCGTCAAAAAAGTCTATTAAAAAATAAGTTCACCTACTTTTAAAACAAGTAATAGGTATATAAACTACTTTTAAAAACTAAGAAGTCCTTTAAATACATGCTAAAAGACTTGCTATGGTCAGTTCAGAGAAGACACAGGTGTAGAAAGACAGGAGTATGGAAACAAGAGAGAATGGCATAAAGGGAAGTACATACAAAATAGGCATGTAAGAGAGTTAATGATAAATAGAAACAGATATGAATGAAACACAATAATCTATTTTTTAAAGAAAATTTTGAGAAATCAGGAGGTAAAACCAAAACACCATTTTGCAGAATAAAATGTATGTGGTAATGTGTGCAGAAGTAGCTCTGGTTGCTAATAAACATTAATGAAGTATCAGATTTTCTAACAGAAAAGTACCAAGCCACAGCTCTATGAATTTCCTCAAAGTAAATACACTTATGTGACTAGAACTGGGACCAAGAAACAGAGCACTAACTGATGACAGCAGTGCCATTTCACCATCTCCCAACACCTGTCCCAGAATATGCATTTAAAAAATATGCCTCACAATTCTCCTCAAACAACAATTCAGAACACAACAGAAATGGTGGTGGGCCTCCCTGGTGGCACAAGAGGTTAAGTCTCAGCACTATCAAACTATCCACAGCCACTGCAGCATGAGTTCGATTTCCGGCCAAAGCTACCCACATGGCGCAGCAGACCTCTCCTGTCTCACCCGCTGCTCCCCTCAGCAGTGTACTTCAGTCAATCCGCCCTTTCTGCTTCCCACTCTGTCTCTGGTGAATCCTCTCACCCCTCCTCCTCTACCCCACACGTCTGGCGTACACCAGCTCTTGTATATTTATTTATGTAAATATGTCACTTTGATTTTCTACTTCAGAATCTGAAGCAGTTATTTAAAGTATGGCCTTTAGTTTCACCTTTATTCTTTCTGATACCTTTTGCCTTTCCTCTAGAAATAATTTTGTTTTTTTGTTTTTTTGTTTTTTTTTTATAGAGGCATGCTTTATTTATTTGTTTGCTGGTTTGTTTGTTTGTTTTGTTTATACATGCACTGGGTACAGTCAGAAGCGCAGGAGGGTGAGAGAATTCACCAGAGCCAGAGCGGGGAGCAGAGCAGGCAGAAGGACCGAAGTACACTGCTGAGGGGAGCAGCAGGCGGCAGGAGAGGTCTGCACGCCATGTGGGACCCTCCTCCGGTGGCCGGGGAGCAGCCGGGGATCGAACCGGCGCCGTAGAGGCCGCGGGCAGCTTCGCAACCCAGCGCTCAACCGCTGCGCCACCGGGGAGGCCCTAGAAATAATTTTGAATTTAACAACTCTTCATTCTCCAATATATATAATCTTGCCTTTTGTTTTCAGTTATAGAATTCAGTTTGATTTCTTATAATAATGTTTAGAACTAGAACTATTCTCAACATTACTCTTTTAGAAAAAGAAGTCCCCAAAAGAGTCTCTTAATGTCATTACAAAATATCTTATCACCCTTCAGTAAATATTAGAGTTGTTCAATATTATACAAGAATGAATTAAATTATAACATTAAAAAAAATGAGTTAAGCACTGTCCCTAGCCCTCAAAAGACTTATATTCTATTTTAAATGGGTAGCAAATTGTGATGTGCCTGCCTAATCTGACTCATAAATAATCTGTCTCATAAATCCATTACAGATTGCTAACAGTTATCACTTTACTGGTCCAGAGGATATTGTAACGGGTAATCATCAATGGCCAGGGAAGAGGAACAGGTTGTAAACAAGCATGCCAGCTATTTGTCATCCTCAGAAAATGGAATTAATAAGCACACAATAAGCAAACCATGAAATAGTAAAATAAAGGTCATCTTGATTTGTACTCCAAAAAAGTGTTGTGAGAGTTCAAATAAAGAGAATGGCTTCACAATAAAACTATAATCTTGATTTGACAGAAAAACAGAAAATTTTTACAACTATTTGGTCTATTTTCTATCTGATTTGTATTTAATCACATGTATTTTTTCATATAACATTTGAACTATACCATGTGTAGCTTAATAGTGTAGGGTAAGCACAGAAAAACTTGATTTTTAAATAACTATAGGCTATTCCACACTTCCTATCCAATATTCCAATTTGGCTATTTAAAATTTTTTACTATTATAAATGAAATTGCAATACACTTATTTTTATTTTCAAAACATACATAATGTTTGACAGATTCTCCATTTATTTCCTTTAGGAGGATTTCCAGAGATAGTGTTACCAAGTTAAATGTTGAACATTTTAAGTGTCTTGATACATACTGTCAAACTACCTGACAAAGGGACCATATTAATTTACATTATATAACATGGATCAAGATATTTCAATAAGGAGAAATGGGAAAGAATGACTTCTAGCAGAAGGAAAGTTTTAATGGACTACACATATCTATTTGACTAGAGTGGGAGATAACACTTGAAAATATATTTGGATCCAAATTATGAAAACCGCTAAATGCTAAGATAAGGAATTTTTATTAGCAGGCACTGGAAGTAAAGTCAAAAATAGAAGTGACATGATCAGAACTACACCTGGACAAAGAATAAATCAATGTTGCAAAAATGGAACTATATTAGAATTTTTACATCGAGACAGGGAACTTTTCTCATTCATGATTACAACTTTCCACAAGAAAACTTATAAAGTAGTGAACATTAGGTGTGCAATATAAATATTTGAAGTAGGATAAACAAACACAAGGGATAGTATGAACCACTCAGGGAGAAAGTAATATTGACACAGTACAAATATATAAAAGAAGACAGATTTCAAATAAAGATATCAAGGGATACAAGCTCAGGAATTTATGGCTCTGAATGATCCTACTATTAAATTACTAAGCAACTATTTCTAAGCATATGTATGGTACAGTACACCACATGCACAAAGGAATGGGTGAGAGTGAGCATGGCTGTCATTAAAAGTAGTCTGCTATAATAGGAAAAGATAGCAAGTAGGTAAAGACTGAACCAATTCATCCATTAAGTAATAATATAGCATTGATGTACTAAAAACACCTCTCTGGCAGCTGAGTAGGGACCATTAAACAGAAAATGAAGAGAATAGATCAGCTTCCCTACTCCAAGTGTGGTCCAGAAATTACCAGCAGTAGCATCACCTGGGAGTATCTTACAATGGTAGAAACTCAAGCCCCACCAAAGGTGCATTGAAACAGAATCTGTATCTTCACATTTTCTGTGATTTGTCTGTACATTAAAATTTGAGAGGCCCCAGAATAAAGAAAGAGTATTTGGAAGAGTGCTTACTACAACTCCCCTAGTTAGGGTTGGAACCCAGAGAACTGGGAGAACAGGGAGAACTGGGAGAAAAGGGCATTTAATACTGCCTTGTAAATGCAAATTAACCATGAACAACAATTCTCCATCTCTAAAATTTCTAAAATTTTAAATATACTTTTAAGAATAGATCACAAAAACAGTCAAGAGGTAGAGAGAGATTAAACATGCTTTAAATCTTCTAAGAATAATAATCTATCAATTTCAAACTGAGACTTAGAAGGGGAAAGACTTCCAATTTAGTGAGAAGTAACTTATATTTTACAAATTGGGGGGAAATCAGAGAAGTGCTTTAGAGGGCTTTATACAACAAGAATAAAAAATTTTACTAAACTAAAAAACTTTAAAGAAATTGAACTCAAATCATTTTTATAAGTTATAAGGCACATTTAAAATAAACTTACTCTCACCCTCCCGTGCAGCTGGCCTGTACCCTGGGTTCGTATATATAAATAAATAAATCTTTAAAAAATTAAAAAATAGGGCCTCCCCAGTGGCGCAGCGGTTGAGCGCTGGGTTGTGAAGCTGCCCGCAGCCTCTGCAGCCAGTTTGATCCCCGGCTGTTCCCCGACCACTGGAGGAGGGTCCCGCATGGCGCGCAGACCTCTCCCGCCGCCCACTGCTCCCCTCAGCAGTGTACTTCGGTCCTTCCGCCTGCTCTGCTCCCCGCTCTGGCTCTGGTGAATTCTCTCACCCTCCCGCGCTTCTGACTGTACCCAGTGCTTGTATGAATAAATAAATAAATCTTTAAAAAAAAAATTAAAAAATAAATAAACTTACATATTGTTTTCAAATAAAATTTTCCTATTGTTTTTCAATAAGCCCTAAAATCACCAAAAAATACTTTCATATTGCAAAATTTAAAATAGCAATACCATTCCATAGTGGAGAAAGACAAATCTAGTATAAATTGTAATAACACTTTAACAGAAACCAAGCTAAAAACAAAAATTCAAAGTGAACTTTAAACAATGAAAAGTGATTCTAATTCAACAACTATTTGAATAAATCATGTACTAGATACTGTTCTAGAGTCAGAAAACATATACTTGAAACATATTATAAATCAATGTCACATCAATAAAATTTGTTTTAAAACCCTAAATATTCATATGTACTTGTTTTCACGGTAAGCAACAAGAACAAAAATCACTCAACATAAAAGTTAGGTTAATAACTTTTTTAAATTCTAGTAATTAGGCAATACTTACTGGAGATCCAAAGTTATGTCCAACTTCATGAGCAAAAGTAATGTGAGAGACTTTGGGGGGCACATGAGACCCATAGTTCTGAACAGTAATAATTCCAGTGTTTAAGGACTTCCTCTTACCATCTGAATAGAGCTTACTTTTTTCACATATTCCTCCAGAGCTTCCTAATTCAGAACAAAATATGGCTACGTTAGCCTCTATTTCCCATCAAAAAAGATTCTCTAATATACACTACATTAAATTAAAAATATGTCATATTTTCATTGGCACCCATATATATCAAATACTCAAAAGTTTGTTTAGTCTAACATTCAGAAAGTATTTGAAATAAAAGTTTTAATGGCACATATTTAAAGAAATTCCCAGGATTAATTACATATTTTCATAAAAAATATTAATGGTGGTTGTTTGGGGAGGGGGATGGATAGAGAAATAGGGAGTAAAGGGTATCAATTTTCAGTTATTAAATGAATAAGATCTGAGCATCTAATGCATAACATGTTGACAATAGTTAAATACACTGTATTGTATTAATTAAATTGGCCGAATATAACTTAAACATTCTCACACATGAAAAAAAGGTAAATATGTGGAGTGATGATACACAGTTAACTGGAAGGGGGATCCTGTCACAATCTATACTAATGTTAAATCATCACTATGTGCACTTTTAATATCCAACAATTTTAACTGATAGTTATGCCTCAAAAAAGCTGGGGAAAAGAAAAGAATTATGTCACACAGATATTAAAAAAAGGAAGGGTAAGGAAAGAGAAGGGGTAGAAAGAAAGAGAATAAATGTGGCAAAATCTTAACTGATTATCAGGAGTTCACTCTCTAACTCTCAAAGTTTTGATAGGCTTGGACTTTTTTCAAAAATAAGCTCAAATAATTGAATTATTTTCCAATGTGTTTTGAGAATACTTTCAGTTTTTAAAAGATAACCCAACAATCCAGTCAAAAAATGAGCAGAAGAGCTAAAAAGAAACTTCTCCAGAGAGGAAATGCAAATGGCCAATAAGTAAATGAAAAAATGTTCAATATCCTTTATATTCAGGGAAATGCAAATCAAAACCACAATGAGATACCACCTTATGCCAGTGAGAATGGCACATATCAAAAACACTTAACAAAAACAAATGTTGGAGAGGATGTGGAGAAAAAGGAACTCTCCTGCACTGCTAGTAGGAATGCAAACAGGTCCAATCACTATGGAGAGCTGTGTGGAAGTTCCTTAAACTACTAAAAATGGAGCTACCCAGCAATTCCACTCCTAGGGATCTACCCAAAGGACAAAAAAACACTCACAAAAACAAATGTTGGTGAGGATGTGGAGAAAAAGGAACTCTCCTGCACTGCTAGTAGGAATGCAAACTGGTCCAAACATTATGGAGAGCTGTGTGGAAGTTCCTCAAACTACTAAAAATGGAGCTACTCAGCAATTCCACTCCTAGGGATCTACCCAAAGGACACAAAAACACTCATTCAAAAGGATACCTGCACCCCTATGTTTACTGCAGCACTATTTATAATAGGTAAGACTTGGAAACCACCCAAATACCCAAAAACACATGACTGGATCAAGAAGAGGTGGTATATATACACAATGGAATACTGTTCAGCAATCAAAAAAGATATACTCATGACATTCACAGCAACATGGATGGAGCTAGAAGGGATTATGCTCAGTGAAACAAGCCAGAAGAAAAAAGAAAAATATCGAATGGTTCCACTTACAGGAGGAATACAGGGGAACCAAATAAGGGACCAGGGGGGAAAAATAATAACAATAAATAGAAAAAAAAAAAAAAAAAAAAGCCGGCAGCTATAAATCAGAGACATTCTGCAGGGGAGCGAGAAGGAGAGGGATCAAAACTGGAAAGGGAAGACCACAAGGGACTATGACGATGGCGCATGGGTGAACTAGTGGTGGGAATTCTATAAGGACCACACCTGAGAGGAGAAAGCAAAATTGTACAAAAATGAACAATAATGTAAAATATACATAAAATAAACAAATAAAAGAAAACCCAGATTTCCATTTATGTATATGAAATCATTTTGTAGTTTATGTTTCCATTAACAGAAACTTAAGAACTTAATACCAAAATGAAAGTGCTCTCATATTTAAAGAGAGTTAATATCAAAAAATTGCAAAACATGAAACCACTGGTCAATCCATGCCTATGTACACACTATACTAACAAGACCATATAGTCTCTTAAAAATCTATAAAAGATTTTGGTGAGCAATTATTTAGTTTACATTCATATTGAAAAGGTTTCAATTTTTACTAAAATATAATCAAATGGCTTGGGATATTCTGATGACCAATCATATAATTTCACATTAGCTTTCTCTATGCAAAGTTAACAAACAAGTCATTAAACCATTAAAAATGTTAATATGCATAATCCCTGAGAAAACAGATAATAGAAAGCAATTTAAAACAGATCTGAAAGAATGACATGCAGTAAAACTGCTGCCTTATTCCTTTTTATATTACAAAATATATGGCAGCAAAATATAAATTTGAATTACTGTTATAACTTAGGAAGGAAGCTGAAATAATGTACTTCACAGAAAAACTGAAAGACTAAGCCAAATGCAGACTGTAAGCAGCAAAGGTTTGAAAACCTTATGATATTCAAAACTTAGTATCTTTTCTACACAGAACTGAATAGAAAGAAAACAAAGATTTATTAATATTTAATAAATTTTCTTAAGCTACTTCTACTTTTGGAGGTAATTTCTAACGACTCTTACCAGTATTTCTAGAAACTAGAAAAGATATGAAGAAGCAGTATATGTGTAATAATTATATTCTATATATTATAATTTAAAAAAAATAGTAAATTAATATCCTGCCTTAGTGAAGATTTGCCATATGCAAATTGTTCCATTTCGGTACTGTCAAACTTGAATTAAGCAGACTCCACACTGCAAATCCTTATCAGTTAAAAAAAAGTGAATAGTGTATTAAAAACTCTGATAATATAGTCTTCTGTATTTTTAAGATGTATCTAAACAAAAGATCATATATAAATTTGCTGAAATGAAATCTTCGTGATTCATACATTACCTAACTTAAACAAGTGCTTTTGATTTTAGTGACTATTGCTTATAGGAAAGTTTAATATTTCTTACAGACTAATAGCATATGTTGGGATAACTCAATTATACAGGAAGAAGTAAAATGCTGTATCTAATTTTATAAACTAGGCTTCAATTTGTTAAAAAAAACTAATTTCAAGGGCCTCCCCTGGTGGCGCAGGTGGTTGAGCACCGTGCTGTAAAGCTGTCCGCAGCCTCTGCAGCACCAGTTTGATCCCAGCCAACCAGCAAGGTCTGCCCATATGGCGTGCAGACCTCTCCTGTCGCGCCTGCTGCTCCCTTCAGCAGTATATTTCATCAGTCTGCCTGTTCTGTTCCCAGTTCTGTCTCTGGTGAATTCTCTCACCCTCCCGCACATCTGGCCTGTACTCCAGTTCTTGTATAAATAAATAAATAAATAAATAAATAAACCTTTAAAAAAAATACTAATTTCGATATGCCTGAAACTTAGTTAAGTGATACAATATCACATATACCTCTACCTAAACCATTACTTGTTCAGTAATTGATTTATATAATAAATTTAAGATTTTACTACAGTCATCCTTAAAAAATACAAATTGTGAATTAACAATGAGAAGGGTAAAATGTTTTCTATATAAGTCAAAAAGCAATTGTTGATGAATGGATGACTCAATGATCAGCAAAGAAACATAACATTTTCTTTCTCCAGGATTGTCTGAGAGCTAAAGTCACAGAATATCAGTCCTAAACTTTAAAATAGACAACCCATCAAAGAAAAGAAAACTCCATGGCTAATAAAATACTTTGAAAGACTCCATAAATACAGTTTTGATGTAAACAGACCTAAACACCTAAATAGTAGTGTGACCACACAATATTTATCTGAGCAGTAATTCTGAACTAGATAGTAGCAGCACTCCCAGAGAGGTTATTAGGAAATGTGAAGAACACTCTTGTCTTTCATGCCTGAGAAGCAGTAGTCAAATGTAATGGGTAGGGAACAGAGATGTCAAACTTCCTGCAAGGGACAATCCAAACCTGCACAAAATGCCAATATTAACTGTCTTGTTAAATATTCTAATGATATAATTCTTCTAGCCTTGTAATTAGACTTACACACTGTAACAGATTAAGATCAATAGGCTCTAGGTTATCTTCAGAACTCCATGTTGAGCTCTGTATATGTCTTGAAGTACCAGTACGCAAAAATTTCTGAACTAAAAAAAAAAAATAAAAGAAGACAACTTTTGACAAAATAATCTTCATAGAGGAATACTGAGGTCAGAGGTTCAGAATTTAATTAAAGAGATGAATTCCAGAGCCAGCCTTATCCAATGACCTAACCAAACTGAGGCCCATTCATTAACTGATTAACATTCATATGAACAATATATGAGCAGAATGTATCTTAATAAACAAACCAAAAAAAAAATGGCCCCTCAAATGATGAGTTAAAAGGGTGCAGCAAATGAAGCAGAACCAAAGGATTATCAAAAATACAACATTTACTTTGTTAAGGAACCAATGTTTCAGTTTCTAAATGCTGAAGCTACCTATTTACCACAGAACTTTCTTTATACTAGGGTAAAAAAAAGTTCAATCTTTTTAGATTCATATACAAGATTAACTTTGTTCTGGAGACCAGACGACCCTTTTTGGGTCTCTTCTAGGTCCTATATATCAATAATTTTAAGTAGGAGCCCCCAGCTAGCCCAGTTCACACATGTTTCTACTTATTATGGAGTTGGGTAGGAGGTATTATTTTCCTCATTAAGGAAACTCAAGGCTGGGTCCAACTATAGTATCACATTAAATGAGAATAAAAAGTAGTATAAAGAAAGACTTAGAAATAGGAAACCTACTATTCAATTGCTTTTCCCAGAGTAGCTGAGTCAGTGAGAAAAACTATAGCTAATGATTTGAGTAACTATTCTGTGAAAATTAACAAAATGACAAAATCCTTCCCACCACCATACCTACAGATTTAAATGAAATTAAGTTAAATAAATAAGAATCTAAATAAATTAAGCCAAATCAAAATAAAACAAAGATTAAAAAACACTAACAGATGACAAACTGAATGAATAGATCAGCTATAAAAAATTATTTAAAATAAAAACAAGATAACAAGTAAGCATTACTGAGATCTAGGCAGAAATATGAAGTCTCAAAGGAAGGGTAAAGACAGAAGAAATTACTATGGAAAAATAAACAAGATCAAGCAAAAGGCTGTATCTGAATTTATAGAGACAAAACAGACAAGAACCCTGTCTCTTAGCTTCCAATCTAATGCTCTTCCCATTATGTCATAATAACCCAAAATGATATCTACATATTATAGAGTAATATTATTTTATAAGTCCTCTTTCCTAGGAAAAAAGGAAATGGAGTCCATAAAACATCTACTAAGATGCAGAAAACATTTTAATTTATTAGAAATGTCTTAGAAAGAGAAAGCTAGGATGTTATAATATATATTACCTAGTAAAATAACTACCAAATGCACTGATCCTGGAGTCAAAAGGTCCAGATTCGAGGTTTTGTGTGATAGTAAGTTGGTCACAAAGTCTCTGAAACCAAGTTTCCTCATCTGTAGAAAGCAGGTAATAATACTTCACCTTCAGAAGGGTATTGTAATGATCAATAAGACCAAATATATAAAGTTCCTTATTAAAAAAAATAAAATGTAGGTTAAATATAAAACTCAATTTAGCTAGTCTGCAGGCAAAGGATTGAAGAAGAAAGCTAGCTGTTGATGTTATATCCAGGCAGATGCTTTATACTAGAAAAAGTTGAGTTAAAGGAACAAAGATCTCTCTTTCCCACTCTGGCACCCCTTTCTTCTATCCCTAGCTAGCCCCTTTTCAGAAGTGTTAGAAAAAGTATCCAAGGAGCTGGAGTTGGAGATTTAAACAGAGAAAGGAAAGTCTTAGACAAAGATCCCCAATAATATGCCCCAACATTTTCATATACAAGTAAGAGCCAAATGCTGGCTGCTTCAATAAAATGAACAACACTACAAATGATGGTTGAGATATCATTAAAATAAGATAACAAAAAATAATTGTTCCCAATATTCCTTTTGCTTTTGGTTTCAAAACTAAGAACTACCTTTCCATCATAAAATTATTTATTTCAGCTACTAACTGTACCAAATATTGGAATATCTCCCTGTAAGTAATCATTTTCAAAATAAAATAGACTCATCTTTTTTAAAATTATATTATGTTTATGAATCTCACCTATCCCAAGTAGTATAAATTAAGATATTGTATAGGCATCCTTTTCTCCTGTATTCTATAAAATTCAAACTGCCCAAAAAATTGCTTTTGTTTCAAGTGTTAAGTCAAGACAGAGACAGACTACCTGAAGGTGCTCCAACCCAAGCCAGACCAAGAACACCATCATCAAAATCTCGGTCTGTGAAGACATAGGCCAAACAGTAGTCATCATGATTCTGTTCTGAATTCAATTCCAGAAACTTCTCCACACCAATATTTGGGAAACGGAAGGGATTTGTTGGGTCCTTTTCATCAGCAGTTGTGTTGATCTAAAATGCAAACAATCATTTAAATAGGCAATTAATATTAGCAGGACCTTAGTGTTAAGTTTCTACTAATCTCCTGCATCCTCCTGGACAAAATGATTCAATCAGGCTAGAATTAAGCCTTTTACAGTTGTGCCCACTGCCCCCATCCCTGAGCTGATCTTAGACATCAAGAATGCAGGTAAGGGAATTAAAACTGAATATGTTAAATTTCTGAGCAAGTATTCACCAGACTTCTCAACACTTGTGATGGAAAAACAAGTTTTATTCCAAACTTCTAATAAAGTAAGTATGGTTCTCAAAATTTAATTTTCTGAGCAAGTCTTTTAGTGCTGATCTCCTACATATATATGGTGATGTGGTATAAGGACATAAAACCCTGTGTTTTAGCTAATTACTACAACATAAAACAGACAAATTTTTATCTTGGTTCTCCTTGCCTAGAGAGTCATATGAGTCAAACCCAACTAACTGCAAGATCAGTTTTTTACCCTGAAAATGTGGACAAGAAGTTTATTTTCTTTTAACTGACAATTCCTTTTTCTTACTGTTCATCAGAAGAATGTTTCTTCTAATACTTAGCTATTATATTCCTGGCGCAAGTTCCTCCTTCACAATCTGAAGAATAGTGGGTTTTGATTCCAAACTTCTAAACAAAAGCTTTCATTTATTAGTTGCTGTCTCCTTTCCGAAACAACTGCCTACCCTTTGAAATCCTAAAACAATTTGGCTTTCAGCAAGTAAGTTCAGAGAATTATATTCAAGATTGTTGACAGAGATTAAAAGGGATAAGTATGAAAGTAAACATTTTTTAAAAGGCAAACCTCAGTCTACTGAAAATGTCAGTTGTAAGAAAAGGATTAAATGAAAAGTATGATCCTTTTAGGATCCAGACCCTTCAATAAAACCAAAAGCTTAGAAGCAGAATGGCAAAACCACCACTGAGGAGCAACTGCCTAAGTAGAGATTTAAAAATATGTGGTTTCTCCATTAACAATAAACCAAAAGCAACCAGTAATGGTCATCTAATACACATACCCAAAAATCCAAAAGCAAGTACACTATATATTATAAACAGCCTATGCTTAGTAACATGTTGTAGATAGTTTTTTACCATTAAACATAGAAATGTAATTCTATAATATAAGCTACAAGTAAAAATTGAACCTTATATTTTAGTTACCTCTATTAAAAATGAGATGATTAATATTTAAATATTTGCTAATACAAATTTCAATTCATTTACTAGAGGAGATCTAAACTAAAATTTCAATCTCAGTTAAAAGCCTGGAAACAACTGTCACATTTATACACATGCAATTCTTTGCAATGCAAATAATTTTACTCAAAAAATGTGCTTCACTTAAATTTTTCCAGGGGTTCCCTATTTTTTACTACTTGGCACTTTATTGCTCTACCTACTAAACACCAATACTTATACCACTTCTCACTTTTACTTGTTCATTTAAAGGTTCACATTACTCTCAAAATACACGAAAGCAATTGATTATGAATAGTTCTTATAATATATATTATATTTCACCTTAAAACACACAATTTAAAATTTAATCATACCACATCTAAAAGTAAGGACTACCTTTAGCTATATTATTACATATGTTACATCTGTGCACTAAAATTATAATCTACTCAATCATATTTTAAGAAAAATAGAAGCACAAATACAAAGAAACCCTACAGTAAGACTTCTGTTAAATTAAATTTTTAAACTCAGATTATCTAGTTTATAAATTCAAATTCTTAAAAGCTATAAGCACTGAAAGAATTCATATTTAGAAAATTTTTCATTTAGCCTGATTTTGTAAGTAATTGAATGTTTTCTTACTATTTAAACATTAAAACTAATATCAGTAACTCTGTGGCTCTGAATCAACCCTCCTCAAAATGTGTTCTATAGCTCTTTGGAGTTTCAGTTGATGTTAATACAAAAAAGGTACAAGGTCAAATTAATTTAGAAAAATATGAGTTTCTTTCCTGAAGAACCTCTCCAAAATTGAGATATGGTAGTATGCACTATGTATTTTAAGAAGAGATAGTGCTAAATGTTTTTTCCAAATTTCAATTGTATCAACCACTGTATCTGTCCTTCCCAACCCTGGAGAATCAAATGGAACACATGCTGAAAAAAATATTGCACATGTCAAATCTTAAGAAACAGGGGAATGATACCAAGATGGAAAATATCAAGTATTATATCTATATATTTGGAGAGGTTAAGGCTTTCCAACTAGCATGCTGTTCATACTATACTTCTTTTGTAGTCCAAATTAAAGTCCTATAAATTTCAATTTTATTTTAAATCATAAACCCATGTATTCTCATATTTGTGTGTGTGTATAAGCCAAGAGTAAAGATAAACTGCATCAGTACACAGAACTCAAACTCTTTAATGCATAATGATGAAATAAAAAGCAAGCATTTTTCTTTGTGTAAACACGGCATTTATTGTTGCTCTTTTTTAATGTTTTAGCTACTGAAATTCCTTACTCTTATGCGTTTCACCATGAAACTGATGTTACGGATCCCAGAGAAGTCTGTGGTCTGGTAAATTGTATCAATTGCTTTAACATGACTGGATATCTATCAATTAAAAAAAAAAAAGTACATTTTAGAGGCAATACTGAAATGTGAAAAGATTTGAGTTACAATTTCCCAAATCAAGAATTATTCATGTTCCACCACATTCAAATTTTAAAATGTTTACAACATAAACTGGATAAAAAAAGATTAGTGAGCTGGAGCTAAAGGAAGATTGTATGCCTTTTCCAGATTCTTCTCTAACCAAAAACAAACATGCGCTCTTGCTTCAGTCATAAAAAGCTTTGTTTCACAAAGCTCCATGCCTTCTCACATGCTGTTTTCTTATGCCTAGAGAATACTTATTCTTCAGACTCAGCTCAAACATCTTCTATAAGATCTTTCCTGATAATATGAAGACATCAGTCATTCGCTGACTTTAGTGTTTCTACTGCAGCACTAGTACACATTCTGTACATTTTGTTGACCACTTTCTATCTACCAGGCACTGTGTAGGTGCTGGAGACAGAGTGGTGAGATAATAGAGAAAATTCCTATCAAGTTACAGAGCTTTATTCTAGAAGGAAGAAGTTACATAAATATAAAGAAAATATATTCAGATTTTGCTATATTTTAAAAGGAGATAAAAATTGTAAAAGAACATGAAAAGATCCTGTTTACCTAGCTGACTCACAACTAAACTCTCTACTGTATATAATCTTGCCACCTCCATTAACAAAGAGTACTCTTGCTGCCATTATGTGAAAACATATATTTGAACTTTCAAAATTATTTTAAAATAAATTATATAAACATGATAGTCAAAGAGAAGCACGAACAATAATTTCAAAAGTAGTCCAGGTTAGCAAACATTAGGGTCCACTATAAAATCATGCCAATGTTAGTTTGGCTTAGTAATCAAGCCCCTACCCATTTCTCACTGTTTCTACTCCATTCCCAACAGCAGTAGTTCAAACATTTTCCCACAGATGATTACACTTCATACTCTGGAGAGTTCATCTTCTCTTTCACTTAAATTTTTCTATATTTATCCATTTATATCTTCCTCAAAGGGAAACACTTCCTTAAAGGTAACTTTTCTTAATTCCTGACCCCAATTCCCTATTGAATCATCAAGAACACTGTTTCACATACAATTTTCTTTCTCATATATTACACTGCGTCTCTACTAGATCATTTTTCTCTCCCTAATTTGCTCATATATTCACCAGCCTCCATTCACCCCCAAATATTCATACTTATCTATTTTTCATATATTTGAAAACCTCTTTGCTTCTGCCAACCCATTCCTTATTATTCACAATGCTTTTACCCTCACAACTCTATCAAAAACTTGCTGAAAGTTTATCAGTAATGTTCTAGCAAATAAAAATGAATGGTACTTTGCACCTTTATTCAGAATTGAGGTATAACTGACAAATAAAATGATAAACTATTTAAAATGTACGTCATGATGCTTTGATACATATTGTGAAAAGGTACCCATCTAACTAATTAACACATAGTAGTCATTCTCTTTGATAGCTCTGCAATATGACAGTATTAGTGATGCATTTTTTTAATTTGTTTCTCCTTTAGCTAATGTTATTTGATCGCTAAACTCTTTTAACTGTTCTATGTTTTACCCACTAGTTTCTCCTCGTCCTATTTACCATATACCAGTATCAGTCCCTAGTGTCTCTCCTTTTGATTTCATTCTCTCCCATTATTTTAACCTTCTTTTAAACCCCTGAATTCCATGCAGTAAGCTCACAAGTTCTATATTTTTAATATCCTAAGGAATGACATCTGGCTTTAAATATGTCTAAAATTAAGTTTATCACCACCACCACCAAAATGAATTCACCATTTATAGTATCGGCACCATCATCCCCTCGGCCTCAATTCTAGGAGTCAAAACGAATCATCAAACTCTCACTGGATACCTTCAATATTCTGAATATCTCCCAAAAAATTACAGTTGAATGAGCATTGAGAAGGTATAAATACAAGTAATGTGACTTAGAAACGATAAGTAAAGTTTTCAATACCGAATAGAAATTAGATTATTTCTTATTGGAAGAATTCCTCTACTTTTCCACCGTCTTTAAAGTCCAAATGAAAATTCAACCCTAACATCCAGTGTCATGTCCTTTATGAAATCATTTTCTTACACATCTCTTTTGAATGACACTAAAAAATCCCAATAGGTCCTTCATTATCTGTGTACCTATCTTACACAGTTTATCATATCACAATTGAAAATACATACTTTTTTTTCCCAAAGCAGATATGCACTAACTTTAATTTTTAGAGGAAAATGTAGGTATAATGAAAACTCTTAAAATAGTAACAATATTACAAATACCTGGGCAATCACAGCCTCACGTGTTCCATAATATTTAAAGAACAGATGATCAGTCTGAATATAAAGCTGACAAGTATTTCTTTCAGCTGAAGTTGTACGCTTTTTCCTCAGGAGTTCTGGACCATTAACAATATGTTCTTCTTGAGGTGTCTATATGTCAAAATGAGAGTCATTTCTGATAATTATCATACTTCACTATTGTTAATTGTATATAGTTAAGACCAAACATTATAAATAACTTCACATTCTGCTTTATTATACATAGGCATTTCTCCAACTGTTAAAAATTCTTCATAAACATAATTTTCAGTCTTTGAAAATTCTACTATACAGATGACTTATTAATTCAAGCAATTGTTTCATTTTTAAACATTTTCAAAACCAACCTTTCACTACATAATCATTTAGACAAGTTTTATAGGGCCTCCCTGGTGGCACAGGGGTTAAAGTCTCAGTGTTATCAAGCTATAGCCAGCCATTGCAGTATGAGTTCGATCCCCAGCCAGGGAGCTAACCCACATGGCACAGCAGACCTCTCCCATCTCGCCCATTACTCCCCTCAGCAGTGTATTTCAATAAATCCGCCTGTTCTGCTCCCCACTGTGTCTCTGGTGAATCTTCTCACCCCCTGGAGCTCTGGCCTATACCCCAGTTCTTATATGCATAAATATATAAAAATAAATCTTTTAAAAAATAAACAAGTTTTGGGCCACCCTGGTGGCACAAGGGGTTAAGCACCACACTATGAAGCAATCCGCAGCCTCTGCAGCACAAGTTCAATCTCCAGCCAGCAAGAGAGCTACCCACATGGCACAGCAGACCTCTCCTGACTCGCCTGCTGCTCCCCTCAGCAGTGTGCTTCAGTCAATCTGCCTGTTCTGTTCCCCACTGTCTCTGGTGAATCCTCTCACCCCCGCATCTCTGGCCTGTACCCCAGCTCTTGCATGCATAAATAAATTGTTAATAAATAAACAAGTTTTACAGTAGTTTATAATACCTTAATATCTTCTATTATCTCACCTCTGATATCCAACCTATCACCAAGCCCTGTCAAATTATCCCTAAACATCTAGGGACTCTGCCCATCATCTGGCTCCATGACATCAGTTCCAAGATACCATCACTTATTACCCAAAGGACTGCAATAAGTTCGATATCCATAATACAACTTTTTCAAAATGCAAACTTGAAAATATTACCCTCCTGCATAACATATTTCAATGACTTACTTCTGCTCTAAGGACAAAGTCCTAAATCTTTTATATGTGCCATCAAATAAGCACTGCAGTCTCTACTTAGAGTCACCTGAAATAAAATTGTTTATGTCATTCTACAGATGAAGAAACACACAAATCTGTATTTGTAACTCAAGAAATTCAAGAAACATTGCATCACCACACTACTTTTACAAAAGATGCCCAAAATACATGATAAATGTTCTATCATAAAAAAATTACTTAATTTTTTTTATTTTAAACTTGTGTTTTGAATAATTATCAGTCTATTGCCTATGACTAAAGAAAAAGGAGATAAAAAAAGAATAAAGGAACAATAGTCAAATGGCAAAATCTTATAATTAAAATATCAAAAGTACTACAATTTTTATTAGGGTGACTAATCCTATCAGTATGTTGAGGGACACATGACTTTCTGTGTAAAACTGGGGACATCTCACACAAACCAGGGAAGTTGATCAATCTCATATTCATATAATCACAAATACTTACATTTATTAAAAAAAAATGTTCAGATTAAAATGCTTTTTAATTTTAGGAGAAAACATGTAAGGCAATATATTCTGAACAAGTAATGGTTTTGAGTTGTACAGATTTGTATTCAAATCTCAGCACCACATCATTATTATAGGCAAACTGCCTGACCTCTTTCAGTAATAAAAAAAAAAAATTCCCCATAGTAGTATAAATCTTTCTGAAATGCTAAAACATACTATTTTAATACAGGAATATATTCCCAAGTACATTTCCATTTTTAAAATACAAGCCAGTATCAAAATCCTTACCTGTGTTACTTCCTCTGTACCAGTTATCTGGTATTTTCTCATTCTTTCAAAAACTGAATGATCTGCACAGCCCCCCTGTGGACCATATTTATGGGGATAGTCTAAAACACAAAGAAGAAACATCATTAATGTCACAGTTTTAGGTATTACCAATTATCTCATAAATAAAAAATTTCCTGTCATAATTAACAAAAGCCATCAATGCCTATTGAGTACTTATTGGGACAGGTATTAAGCAAGAAGTCTAATTTTAAACCATGGCAGGTTCCTAAGTTCTCCCTCAAAAAAAATCAGTTTTTGGTTTTGTTTTGTTTTTTTTTTTTTTTGATCGTAAGAAAGATCTATGTGATTTGTGAACTCTAAAAATGGAGAAAAATCATTCTTTATTCTGAGGTTAACTTTCCCACTTTGAATATAGAGAGCAATTTATTTCATTTTGTAATTTATACCTTTCCCTTCAAATACATTATATTTCCTCTTCTACAAATGTACAAAGTCACTTCAATATGAACTACAGTTAGGCTAGTATAATATATTTGGCTTGAAGCCCCTGAGTGAATACCAACTGGCCTCAAGGAAATGTGACACAGAAACACATTCCATTGCATAGTAATTTTATTCACTCTTTAATTCAAGTGATGTCTTACAAACCAACAACTATTTCATCACTTGCTTTCTCTTTATAATAAAACAATAATTAATTCATCCTTAACTCAATTGGTTTTACTTCCAGGTAGCTATCAAATTACTTTAGTCACTTAAAAGTTTATGCCACCATCTTAGAATTCTTTAATGTAGTGAGAAGGGAAACCAAAAGAGAAAATACATGTCTAATATATAATCAGCAGTCCCTATCATATAGCATCCCAGTAACAAAAATATTTCCCAAATGTTAATAAGTAAACATATTGCTCCTCTGTTGTCATAAATCCATAGGCACTGGTAATATGGGTAATTAAAGTAATCCAACAAATACTTTCTAATGGGTTTCTTATCTACTTGATAAAATATATAAAACTGAGAGATTTATATACACACATACATATCTGTGGTATTGTCTTTATAGTTGATACTAGAATGGATTTCTTTCTACCACTCCTCCACACTATCAAAAGTTAAACAAGTACCACTGTAAAAGTGTAACAGGGTGGTCTCCAGGAAAGGGGGAGGTTCCAGGTTCCCTTCCCCACCCAAAAGGAGGGTGGAGCTGAGCAGGGAGAGAAGAAGCTGCAGAGGAAACTGAGGAAGGAAGCAGGATGGAGAGCCAGAAGGAGACCAGGAGGAGGCCATGGAGCCTAGAGACATGTGAAGAAACTGCGCTTGTCTTTTGGTCGTGGACTAGGTGACACAGATGTGGGTGAGACCCATGGGGAGGAGATAATGGTAGCTTTTATCTTGATGTTGATTTTGCCCTTTTCCTTCCAGGCTTGTCTTGTTGTTTCTGACCCTTTTTTGTGGGTCCCCACTGAAAGATGCTTTAGACTTGTAGCAGGCTTTGGGGCCTTGCTCTGGGCCAATCCCATTTGGATGGCGTTTTACCCACGAGGGGACGGGTAACTTTGAGTGCTTGATTTAGAAACTAGATTCTTTGCCTTTCCTGTATTGTTTCCTAATTGTATTAAAGTTCCTTCCCATTAAAGACTCATGTTTTGTGCTAATGCGGCGGATGGCAGAACCCTATATAGAATAGGCAGGTTTGCGGGGTTTGGGCTGCCCCTCTTCCTGCCCTGTAACAAAAGTACACCACCTATATGCCACTAATCAGCAGTAGGAAAAAAGCCAGCAGAAACTTAAGGGAAAAAAATCACCATCTAACAGACCTCCCAAGAGTGAAATGATGGCCTAGATTCTGCAGTAAGATTGCCATGTTCCTATCCCACCCCCCAAAAGAGTGTACTTACACTTCAGAAAACCACCTCCCTGGTTCATCACCTAGCAAGCAAAAGCATCTTTCTGCAGCATTCCTCCCTCATCAGGATGATTCCTGCAGGAATCAAGGGGACTTTAGTAACCCTTCCTATTCCTAGGAAGACATTCCCCTGTCCATCACTTTACTAAACACTCACAGCTATTTACCACTTTCTGCCTTGGGACCATCAGGATTATTTTCATCATAACCTGGCCTTTACAGTCATGAGTATATATACCACTAACTACTCCAATTTATTGTAGATATTTTCTGTCCCCCACGTCACTACTACCGTCTACTACCTTACTAGCTCCTAACTCACAACACCATCCCTCAATAACTCAGTGATTCCAACATTCAAGCCGATGATCATTCCAATACGTTCATATCACCTATTCTCCAATGATTTTCTCCTACCTCAACTTCTCACTTTTATGGTCATACTTTTGAACTTATCACTACTGATAACTAAAATCTCTTTATAATGTAAACTTCTACATCCTACTTTCTACCACTCATCTTTTCAGAACATTATCTCTAAACTCCAACAATCCTTCAATACCAGTAACACCCTTGATTCCACCAAGGTCACTATAGTGCTCACTACCACTGAATATTCTTTCTCCTCCTAATTCACCTTAAATCCCACAGTCAACTAATACTATAATTTCTCCATTGTCTTTGCCTTAGACTCTTGCCACTCCCAACTCTCAACCAAATCGTATTTAACTGAACTCACTATCACTCAGCCTGAAGCTGAATGAAGGTGGAGAGAAAATGATAGCTCTGACTATTCTCACTCAAAAATCAAAATCTGTATCCTTAAACAGTTCTTTATACTGCCTGGCAATGATACTATATTTCCAAACCTATTCACCCAGTTAACTAACAGCAGGCTCACACTGCCTAGTTACAAGGGTAATAAAACTGGCACGCAAGCTGAAACCATGCAAAGTGATCTTAATAATCAATGGGAGAAATTATAGTTCTTTAATGTCTTTTAAAAAATGTTGTCAAAATACTAAAACTCCTATTTATAAATGTACAGAATTTAAAAATAAAACTATTTATTTAGTACATTATAATTTACAGCATTAGAAACCTCAAAAATTACAATATTTTAAAGGAATCTTTTTCTTTGTAAATTCTATTTTTTTTTTTTCTTTTTTTTTTTTTAAAATAGAGGCATGTTTATTTATTTATTTATTATACATCACATCAGAATTTACACTTGAAGCAAAGAGGTCTGCGCGCTCCAGTGGCCGGGGAGCAGCTAGGGATCGAACCGGCGCCACTTGCAACCCAGTGCTTGCGAGGCCCTGTAAATTCTATTTTATTTATCATAAATTAATTATACATCCTTTCTTAAAAGCTTGATATTTAGGATAAAAATATATTTCCAAAGCAATGAAAAAGTATTTTTATAGTCTTCAAATTCAGTCAGCACAAAACTCTCCTGAAAGGAAAAAAAGTGATAAAGTATAAAATTTTTCTTATATACTTTCAAAATTCCTAATAGTGCCTACTGTCCCAGGTTACCCATATTAACTATGCAAATGGACTATGACATTTTTCCTCTAAAATTACTGACAATATAATCCCCATTTCTAGAAAAAGTCTTTGTTCAACTAATGAATAAGCCCTCATTGAGATGCTAAATCATAGGATGCACTGTAGTTACCCTGAAAAGGCCAAACAGCATATTCTTTCACAAAGAATGAATCATTAGTGTGGAATATTCAGCCTATTTAAAACAAAGAGCAGTTTTAAATCTACTGCCTTTCTTCCAGTTCTTCTGAATGCCAACCCATTACTTTTGTTGGAAAGGCACAAATACAAATTATATATATTGTGATACCACCTCAAGTAGGAAAAAGCTCTAGTTAACTCTCAATCATCCACTCCAGAAAAGGGGAATATTTGCAGTTCGTATTCTCTGTCCCACAGAGCCATGTAAAAACCACCCACTTCTCACTACATAGTAATTGGAGTAGACCCATCCTCACTATTCCCAGTAAGGCATCTCTCTCCCTCTGTATAACTGCAGATTAGATTTGCCTTGGCTATCAGATGACTCATGTTAAAACGTGGTGTAATCCCTCCAATAACATGCTATGAATCACCAAATTCAATCAATGCAAAATAAGGAGATTTAACAATCACTGCAATGGTGAACCTTGACTGACTCCTATATTTTTTTTAAAGATTTATTGATTGATTGATTGATTTATACAAGCACTGGGTACGGTCAAGAAGCACGGGAGGGTGAGAGAATTCACCAGAGCCACGGCGGGGAACAGAACAGGCAGACTGAGGATATACACTGCTGAGGGGAGCAGTGGGCGGCAGGAGAGGTCTGAGCGCCATGTGGGACTGCAGGCAGCTTCACAGCCCAGCGCTCAAGCGCTGCACCACCAGGGGAGGCCCCTTCTGTATTTTTTTTAATGGGACATTTTTTGGAGGAGCAGTTGGAAGAAATATGTCTACAGACTATATATTAAGATATTATTAAATCAATATAAAATTTCTAGGTATATGAGTATAAATTTGTACAACCTCCTAATAGAGTCATCTGATAATATAAACCAAAATTTAAATGTCTGACAACACTACTTTCAGGAGTTAATATTAAGCAAACAATTATGCAAATGCTGAAGGGGAAAATTATGCACAGTAATGTATAATGCAGCTATTTTTAACAGTAAAAAAAAAAGGAAACAATATAAGTGTGCATTTAGTTGATATGTTGGTAAATAATACATTTACCAATGGAAAAAAGCACAAAAAATAGCAAGCATTTAAAAGAATGTAGTTATGTTTACCAGCATTGACACAAAACTAAGATATGTTATAAATGAAATTTACACTAAGAAAATGGGACCCAGAAAAAGTAAGCTACTAGCATAAGATCACAAAGTTCTAATTCTAGTGCAAAATCCTGATTTCCCTTCTCACTTTTTACTTATACTTATGTGATGCCTCAGTTCTCTAACAAATATTACGTTTTGTGCATTGTCCCAACTATGTATGCCAATTTCTATGAACCTACACACATGGATTAAACCCTGAAAAAGATGGAAGTAGTTAATCTACAAGGTCACCTTTAAAACCATGAAACCCTCTGGTTGCTGAAACCAGTAAAATCCACATTAATTCCTAGAGTAATATTTGAAAATTAAATAGCAAGATTATTTGTGGAGTTTATCTAATCTCCAAATTTACAAATGATAAACAATTTATCATTTAAAGCATGAATTTAACATTTTCTGTAATAATTCGGAGAGCACAATGCCTCTTCAGAAGCAGCATATTTTTATATATTTTTTTATTTTTTTTTTAATAGAGGCATGTTTCATTTATTTATTTATTTATTTGTTTGTTTGTTTGTTTGTTTTTTGTTTATACATGCACTGCGTACAGTCAGAAGCGCGGGAGGGTGAGAGAATTCACCAGAGCCAGAGCGGGGAGCAGAGCAGGCAGAAGCACCGAAGTACACTGCTGAGGGGAGCAGCGGGCGGCAGGAGAGGTTTGCGCACCATGTGGGACCCTCCTCCGGTGGCCGGGGAGCAGCCAGGGATCGAACCGGCGCCACATAGGCCGCGGGCAGCTTCGCAACCCAGCGCTCAACCGCTGCGCCACCAGGGAGGCCCAGAAGCAGCATTTTGAGGGGCTCAAGACCTATACTAATATCCTCAGGCATCGTGATTCATAAGGTCACTAACATTGTATAGATGACTAAGAATCATGAAACTAATAAAAGGAATGGCCAAATTAAAGTCAGAAAGCCATTATTAGAGTAGAACTTATACATTGAACTTACAGTCATTTATATCACCCTCAGCAAACACCTGAATTTGGGGTGTTTGGAAAGAAGGCACCAGTCTTCTTACAAAAACTGACAAACACTCTTGATTCTCCACTTCAAAGAGGAACAATCTTTCCCTGCGCTCAGTATGCAGATACTCCACCATTTCGCATGTTTTTTCTTCCCCTTTTAAATTATTTATTGGTTTACCTATAAGAGGCAGTTCTGCCATAAGTTTTGTATTTCTCTAAATTCTGCCCAAAAAGAATTAAACCCCTCACGTCTCTTATCTGATTTCCAAAAATGTGTTCCCTATTTAGTATCTTACACTTCTACTGATAATTACATATTATCTTTAAAATAGCTACCATTTTTCATGGCCCTTTCCAGTTTTCTGCATTTCTGCCTATGAATTGTTTTGAGCAACAAATTTGTATTTTCCTAGCGAGTAACTAGGGAGAAAAGTAAAGACAGCATCCACTACACATTTAAATTTTTATATTTCTTTCAAACACTGTCATTATGCTTATGAAAATTCAGAATTCAAGATCGATACTAAGTATAAAGCATATGAATTAAAACAGTGGAGAGATGAATCAATAATTTGTATTGTTCGGGGAGTTCTAAATTCAAGCATGTTTTCAATCGTCTTAAACCACTGTTACTGAAATAATTGCCTAACAATCAGAACACGCCATTCCTCAGTCCTTCCAATTGCCTAGCTGTCTGTTGTTTTTACAACTCAATATATAAAAGCAAACATCAATGCTCCGGTCCTTATATAAACTAGAACATTTTTTGTGACAGTCTTTAGAATTTCCTGTTATTTGTGAAATGACGTTATCAGGTTTGTTTAACTACATGCTTTCTCACGATGTTTCTTTGTTTTACTTGTTTGGTTTTTCTTTTTCCAAGTATATTACTTAACAATTTAGCTATTATTAACATTTTGGAATTAAATTCTCTCTGCCCTCTTTCAAAAACACATTATGGAATGAACTGATTTTTTTTAAAGGTTTTAGCAGCAGTATCATGAAAGTTTCCACAAATGAGGAGATTTCTACATGAATGAGAACTTTACCTTGAAATGGTTAAATACAGTTTAGCCATCTAAATTTTTTAGAAAAAGAAATAAAGGTTCTTCCCATTGAAGCACCAGAGAAAGAAGCAACAAGTATAGTTATGGTTAAAATATGTACTGAAAGTAGCCCTACCACTGAACCATGGCAAAGTTAAGTCTCATATGGACTTTGCTATACCACACTCAGGAAAATAAACACATTTGAAAAGAAAAGAATTAAACCAACACTCTTATTCTGCAGTTTCATATATTTTTTTCAATTCAGGGCCTCCCTGGTGGCACAGGGGTTAAAGTCAGCTCTACCAAGTTATCACCAGCCACTGCAGCATGAGTTCAATCCTAGGCCAGGGAGCTAACCCACATGGCACAGCTGCCCACTGCTCCCCTCAGCAGTGTATTTCAGTAGATCTGCCTGTTCTGCTCCCCATTCTGTCTCTGGCGAATTCTCTCATCCCCTCTGGCCTATACCCCAGTTTCTTGTATGCATAAATAAATAAAAATAAATATTTAAATATTTTTTTTTAATTCAGAAATGAAATATCTCTATGTAAGTACACCATGGAAAATTTACTTAGGTCTTTGCCTCTCAAAGAAGTAGTACACAAAAGGGTACATAGGTACATACACTATTTGCAACTAGTGAGCCCAAGTAATCATATAATCATGAATATTATTATTGCATATTAGTAAGATTAACACTATAGTTTATGAGACAATGATTTTCCAAGTTTCTTTATACTGTGCCAAGGGGCAGAGGACTAAGTGGTATTCTTACTTGGTCATAATTGTTCACACATCTATGTCCCAGGGGAGAATGTTTTTAACTACCTAAATACAGTATTGAACAAGCACGAATTTTAAGCTGATAACTACATCACATTTAACTGGGTGTCAAAACACCTAAAAAAGTTATTAAATATTTTTCCCCAAAACTATTTCTCATATAGCCTCAGAAACCATTTCCGAAGATTCTCCAAAACAGCAATATCATTTTCCACTGTTTCAGACATTTAGGGCTACATCTGCAGAAACAGTATTAAGAAGACGGTAGCCAAATTTTCATCAAATCCTACCTCAACTTGGTGTGACTCCCCTGGCATTTGTTGTTGTTGAAAATACAGACACAAAAAATTCACTCAAACATGTACAGAGTAATCTAAGCAATTATGCAGTACTTTAGTTGGACAGACTGACATAAATTGTCAGAACTGATAAAAGAGTAAAAATGATTAAGGTTTTCAGTATATTTACTTGGGAAGAAAATGAAATCATCAAAAATAAATCTCTGGTCGCAGAAAGAAAACTGAATCCAAGAGGCAGTTGCCAACACTAGAAAACAGGCAAAAACTGAGAGACTGGTCTAATTACAATCAAAAATAACATACAAGTATTCAAAAGCAGCATATAAATTAGAGAAATGTATTTCTTTGGTATTTCATTAAAGCATTCTTGTGATTAAACTATGGAAGAATTAAAAGATGAAGTCTAAATACACTTTCTACTCTTCAAACATAAAGACCATAATAGAGGACAAAATCCATAATGGTAAGTCTGACATCCTACAAAGCTAAAATCATTATTTTAAGATTACAAAAAAAATACTAAAAGAATTTAGAAATTATAAAAATTCCTAAATATCCCTTCATTTCTAGAAATAGCCACACTGAAATTTAAATAAGACGACAGTGATGCTTCAGTAGGCCATACACACAAAGGCATTTTAGCATTAAAGAATTAGTTAATATTGGAATATAGGATTTCTGGTTCAATCAGAATTGTTTGACTCATACTTCAAATCGAATTGGTTAAATCATATCAACAAAGTAGGGCTGGCATGGATGGACATGAAAATTGCCTCATTATATAGATTTATTATTCATTAAATTGAGACTTTGTTTTTGAAACTATTTTCCATTCTGATTAATAGCATAAGAGAGAAAGCAGCTTAGATTTAGTTTGTCTCCACATGATTTTAACTATTTACTTGCCTTTCTGCAAAAATTTACTTGATAACATTTAAATACTTACTAATATCATCTTCATGATAAATGACAGAATGAAACGGCAGAGTTCGGTCTTTAATATATCTCTCTGCTGGCTCAACATAAAATGTCCCACCACGAGTTTGTATGAATCCTTCAAATATTCCATCAATAACTGATCCATGGCTAAAACTTCCTTCTTCACCTATTAATGAAAGCAGCAAATTCTTGAAAATGTAATTTACACATGAATCTTAAATTCATTCTTCTTTTAAAAGTTATTTTTATGTATTTTTTAAAAACCTGAAGACATATTTATTGGGGAAATTAATTTTCAGATAAAATATATCAAGCTGAACTGGAGATGTGGACACAACTAGTATTAATTAAAGCATATTCAATGGCCAGGAACAATGAAAAATAGAACATCTGTCTTATTGACAATCACATTCCTAGAGTCTAGCACAGTGTCTGACATGCATGCAGTCATTAATCAATATTAAGTTAATTTAATCATAGAACAAGGCAAGTAGATCCACTGATAAAACATACACTTTCAAAATAAAGACATAAAAAGTATCTTTTGAAATTTTGCTTTAATTACCATAAGAAAAAGGTTTGTTTCCCACCTCATATATTCTGCTTGAGTGTTCCAGTTTCCTTACCAAATTTAAGTTTTATAAATACATTTTTAAAATAAGTAAGCAATTAAAACGAAAGTATACCATCAATCCTTTATAAGATATTAGATGAAGATTTGTAATACTGTGCAATTACACTCATCTAGTTAAAAAAAAAAATTGGCTTTTCCACAATCTCTAAGTTGTAGATTAACTACTTGACTTTGAATTAATCATGGACTAAAGCTAAGGGCCTGTGACACCGGTATTTTAAATGACATAATCTTTATATGCAAACTCATTCAGTCTTGTACTTCTCTAGACCATCATGTAGCAAAGAAGGGTAGACACTACTAAATTATTTGTCCAGCAAGACAGATCAAGAAAATAACAGAAAACTAGAGTCTTAACATAAAAAAACTAGACTGACAAAAAACTTTTTTTGTTACAGGATTATGAACACACAAAGAAATCTTTTAATTTATCAAGTATGTTTAATTTATAAGCAATAAATTTTAGGTATAGAAATATACCATTTATCTTGTACAATAAGAAAATAATCATTTCTTTAGCTCATAATTTTTCATAATGTCATGATGGAGTGAAATTTAGTATGTAAAAATGAAACTTCAAATCATTTAATTTTATCTTAGTAACTGAGAATCAGTTCATGTATTAATGTACAAAATTGTCCCTTTCTAATACCTCCAGAAGACTTTGACATTTTAGCTTTCTCGTTAGTTCTATAATTGTTCTATACTTCCCATACTACTAAACTGTCAAGTGTGCCCCACATCCCCACAATACCTTCTTAAACTGGTGTAGTAAGAGAAATTAGTTAGAATTATGAACATAAACAAATCACTTCTGAGAAAGGCAGGCCCTGGGAGGATTTTCCCATGAATGATTTTCTCACATAATTTCTTGGCTGTTAAGATGATCTTTTCAGTTTCCTTTTATTTATAAATTAAATATAGTGAAGTTACTGCTAATTTCTTCCTTGGAAGATCAGAAAATTATAGAAGTCATTAATAATTTTTTTAAATCTAACAGTTTGGAGGTAGTGAGAAAGTAAAAATTAATACTTTTTTGAAGTCAGACACTGCATAATTCAAATTTAAACATACATTTAAATATAGGTCCAACGTTACTTCATTCTTCAAAAACCACTTTCATTCATGATATATTCAAATTCCCTGAGAATTTATCTCACCTTTTCTGAAATAATATATTTCCTTGTATAGAAAAAAAAAAGGGGTTCCTTTTAAGGTTCAACTTATTATAAATATGTCCAGTATATATATAAGAAGTATCATAATCAAGATTATATTTCCTTGTATAGGAAAAAAATCATTTAAGATTCAACTTACCATAAATATGTCCAGTGTAAATATGAGAGGTATCATAATCAAGTACTTTATTTGATGTTTCTACTTTAAATTCATCACTGAAAAGGGAAGTGTCCCTCTTCATGCGCAGGTTGAAATGTCTGCAAAACAGGAATGGAAATGGAAAAGAAATTTAAAAGATCCAAACTTTAAAAGATTATTTGTTCTAAATTAAAAGTCTGTAAAATGGTGACTTTGTATACTATCTATTTGGGAAATATAATGACTAGTCTCTTCTTATAAAAATTTTGCTATAAAATTCAACCCAGTGGCTATGATACAATTCTAAATTACATACAATTAAACAGTAACAGTCTAGGATATATTTTTAAATAAAAGCAAATAGGCAGATTCCTACGTGATAAAACAAAATCATTTCAACAGCAACTAAATGATCTGGAGATAAAAACAAACTTTCTGACTTACACTATTTTTCAACACTACCTGCCTTCTCAGTCTATTACTTCTGCAGCTTTGCCATTTAACCCTATTTTTCACAACTTAAATAAGGCATTACATAAGAAAGTGACATCTATTAGATACTAATGTCTGTTCTCAGAAAAGTAAGTATATATGCTCTTTCTTTTACACACACTTATGTACACACACACCCGACCTTTCAATTTCTTCATTTTTTTCCCGGGGGCTTATAATCCTTCTAATTGTCCATAAATGTCCTCAGTTCAATTTGGGAATTCAAAAAAAAAGGTGGGGGAAGCATATTAAATGAGTGATACTCATTTTAACTGTCACCAATAAAGGAGAGAAAAAGATGAAAATATTGAAGTAAAATCAAATATAGAATCAAGAGTTTAAAAATCAAACTTGGAAACAAATCTTAAGCCTAGAATGCATTAGCCCAAGATACCTGTCAGTGAAATGAAGATAATGCATTCTATTTTGCAAAACTGTTTTAAGAATTAGAGAGTATAAAGTAGGTAAAGTCATTAACACAGTACTTGGCACAAAGGAGATGTAAAATACATGGCAACAAATCAGTTATCACTACTAAACTATTAAAAGATACATGGAGGGCCTCCCCGGTGGCGCAGCGGTTGAGCGCTGGGTTGCGAAGCTGCCCGCAGCCTCTACAGCACCGGTTCGATCCCCGGCTGCTCCCCGGCCACCAGAGGAGAGTCCCGCATGGCGCGCAGACTCTCCTGCCACCCGCTGCTCCCCTCAGCAGTGTACTTCGGTCCTTCTGCCTGCTCTGCTCCCCCCTCTGGCTCTGGTGAATTTTCTCGCCCTCCCGTGCTTCTGACTGTACCCAGTGCTTGTATAAATAAATAAAAAAATAAATCTTTAAAAAAAAAAAAAAAAGATACATGGAGTCTTGTAATAGGAGCCTGTACATAACACAATTTCTACTCAGTGAATCTAAAATAGTCTTCAATTAGTAGTATGTGGAGCAACTAAACTTTCACACACTGCACTGCACAAAATGCTACAGTCACTTTGGGAAACTAGCATTTGTTTTTTATAAAGCTAAACATACAAAAACCCTATGATTTACAATTCCACTTCAAAAGAAACATGAAACATCTAACCACACAAACAACTAAACACAAATGTCCACAGCAGCTTTATCAATAATAGCAAAAAACTGGAAGACCCTAAAAGTCTGCCAACAAGGAAAGAAATAAAGGTGTGGCTTATTCATATAATGGCAAAGCATCAGCAATAAAAAAGATCAAACTACTTAAAAACATGCACTTTTATGATTTTGCAGAGACACAAAAGAATACATATAGTATAACCCCATATATATAATTCTAGAATAGGCAAAAGCTTACTATAGTGACGGAAAGTAGATCAGTGGCTGTCTGCATGGAAAGAGACTACAAGCAAAAAAAGGAATGGCGGAACTTGGTTTGCTCTGATGGAAACATTCTAGTATCTTGATTTGAATGGTGGTTACACAAGTGTATGTTTTTGTCAAAACTTACATTGGAAATGAGTACAGTAGACTTTAAATGAAAGGACATATAGTGAAACCAATTTTACCACAGGCTCAATGATGCAAACAAAAGTCTAGGTTCCGAAGACATATTTTGTTCATATAGCACAAAACTATCACCAAACTTCTAAATAAAGACCTAAAACACTCCTAATAATCAGCAATCATTTGCAGTGATTCATTTACCTGCCCACTTATACCGGTTCTAGGTTTCGAGCACCTGGAGCCCATCACAAGGCAGGCACCAAGTCTGGACAGGAGGCCCTTCCATTGCAGGGCACACTTGCACACATACCCACATTCATACAGACTGAGACAATTTAGACACACAAATGAAACTAACACGCAACATATAAATGTGGAAAGATATCAGTGTAACCAGAAAAAAAAGAGATACAAGAAAACGTGCACAGGAGGCAATGGTGCAGGGCAGGAAATCATTTTTTGTTTGCTCATCAACATTTTAATGAAAATGACATTAAATGAAAAGATGTTTTTAGAGGTCACAGTGCATATTTTATTTTATGTAAATTATACTTCAGTAAAGTTGATTTTAAAGAAAAAAGCTCTTTTCAAGTGAATACAGGTCAACAAGGTACAGTCAAGACTTTCAGAAAGTATAGCCTTTTTTAAACATTATCATTTCTGTCTTTTCCTTAATTTCATGTCAACCTTGGCACCCTTTTCTTTTGAGGTTGTACTCATTTTCTACTTGCCAAAACTCTCACCCAAAAATTACAACTATAGAGTGGGAAAGACATGCTTAAAGTCCTAAGGTTCCAAGCTACTACAGCAAGTAATCAGCACAAACACTTCCTCTAATTGGGAAGGAACACCACCATCAAAGTTAGACTGTCATGAAGAAATAGGAAATCTGTCAATTCTTATTGCAATCCTATATTTTCATAAAATTACTTTTGCCAACTAAGAGGAAAGTCCTGATTATATGTGTAAGTGGAAATAATTAAAGGATAAATTATTGTGAAAAATCACTAATTTAGCATTATATATATTTTAATACTACCTCTAAAAGAGCACCTTTGTTAAACTAAACACTGAAAGTCTAAGAACTTAATGTGTTTATATTTCAGGATATCATACTCAGAAAAATTGTATCCTACATGATACATTGTAAGTGAGAGCATTAATATTCTCTACGGCAAAATTTCAGAAAGGCCTATAAGTTCAAGAACAATCTATACTACACTCCTTTCCCCAAAAAATATTTTTATATCACTTTAAAGAGTCCAAGAAGACAGTAACCTGAGAAGGATGTTAGGGAGAATTTAAGGACATTCAAAGTAGGCCCCTTTCTAATCCTAATATTGATTTCATAACAAAATTATCTCATATAAAAAAATTCTCAGTAATGATTTAAACTAGATTAATACCAATAAAGTTATTTCTCACACATAAGAGTCAAGTAGAAGTATAGATAATAAAACAAAATATCTATTTTAGATCACACCCCCAAAATACACTGCTTTATTAATGCTAAAATTAATTTGCATCTAAAACATATTGCAGAAAAAAAAACAAAATGAGTCAGCCCATACGGCAGGTAAACAGAATAAAGCCAGATTGAATTAAAGATATTACAAACTATGAATATTCAGAAGCTGGATATGATTTACTCCATTAATTGAACTATAGATTCTAATTTCCCAATTTTAACTCCACTTCCACCTTTTGATAGCTCATATATTATTAGTCCTGTTGGATAAAATAATAAAAATTGGCTAACCATATTTTCCCTTCCCAATGTCTGTCTCAACAAGACCTGAAAAAAAAATCTGAAAACACAACTTGATTCTTTGTTTAAATTTTTAGCCCAAAGGTCAAAAAAACTAGGTGAACCTATCTTGTAAAAAATCATTCTATATTCTGGGACAACAGTTTGGTGGTTACTCAAAAAGTTAAACACAGAATTACCAATGATCCAGCAATTCTAGTTCTAGATACATGTCCTAAGAAACTAAATCAGGAATTCAGACGCTCTGTTAACTAGTATATATGGCTATAGTTTTCATGATAGCCAAAAGATCAAAGCAACTCATGTTCATCAAAAGATGGATTAAAGAAACATGTATGTCTGAGTGGTATATTCCTACAATGGATTATCAGCCTTAAAAAGGAATGAAACTGGGCCTCCCCGGTGGCGCAGTGGTTGAACACTGGGTTGCAAAGCTGCCAGCAGCTTCTGCAGCGCCGGTTCAATCCCCAGCTGCTCCCCAGCCACTGGAGGAGGATCCCACATGGTGCGCAGAACTCTCCTGCCGCCCGCTGCTCCCCTCAGCAATGTACTTTGATCCTTCTGCCTGCTCTGCTCCCCGCTCTGGCTCTGGTGAATTCTCTCACTCACCCTCCCACGCTTCTGACTGTACCCAGTGCTTGTATAAATAAATAAATAAATCTTAAAAAAAAAAAAAAAAGGAATGAAACTATGAATACATACCACAACATGGATGAACCTTGAAAACATTATGTTACATGAAATCAGTTAGACACAAAAGACATATATTACAAGGTGACCAGAATAGGCAAATTCAGAGATAGAAAGTAGAATAGGGATTACTAATGACTGGTGGGAGTTATTGTTTAACCTGCATTGTTTCTGCTTGAGGTGATCAAAAGTTCACAAAATGGACAGTAGTGATAGTACCATAACTTGAAGCAGTGAATTGGACATTTACAAGTGGCTAAAAATGTAAGTTATGTGCTACTTTCCATAATAAAAAGTAATAAGTTCTTAAATCATTGTATTCCCAAAAGCTAGAGTAAAAAATAAAATTGTGTGACCAAATACCTCAGTGATAAAAGCCTCCCAAAACTGGCTGATAGTGACATTATGATAATGATGACAGGAAAACTGTCGTCTTAAATTTATATAGGTTTTCAATTTTAAGAATATTTTTATGGGGCACCTCTCTGGTGGCACAAGGGATTAAGCACCTCACTGTGAAGCAATTTGCAGCCTCTGCAGAACAAGTTTCATCTCCGGCCAGCCAGGGAGCAACCCACATGGTACAGCAGAACACTGCTGTCACACAGGCTGCTCCCTTCAGCAGTGTACTTCAGTGGATCTGTCTGTTCTGGTCCCCACTCTGTCTCTGGTGACTCCTCTCACCGCCCCCCCCCCACACC